GGGAGGAGGCGACGCTGTCAGAGAGAGGAAAGGCTGTTCTGGTGGCAGAGGAGAAGAGGAGCTGTTGCTTGGCAGATATTTCTGAAGAAAGGGAACAATTCACTGCTCCAGAGGATGGCTCTGCCCCCAGCCCGGGGACCTCCCAGTCCTGCACGTCCCCTGGGGTTGGTGGCAGTGCGTGCTGCACGGAGGATGTGGCGGTGCAATGTGGGGTTGAGGACTTTGCTCCAGTTTTGGAGCGCTCAACCAGCCCCACGGGCCCTGAGCTGTCTGACACGGACTCGGTGCAGATGTTCCTGGAGCTGGAAGAGCAGTGCCTGAATGAGGACGGGGGTGATGGAGCTGTCCCCAGCTGCCTGGAGATTCAGATGTCCCCAATGGACTCAGAGGGGCTGGACCCAGATTCGGCCAAACTGGCTGGGTTGGTGGTTGAAGGGGGTCAGCACAGGGCCCCCTTGGATATCAGCGCCTCGGACTCTGCCGTGGTGTCAGATCTGGAGGACTTTGATGTCACCTGCAGCTCACAGGTGCTGAGCACTCTGGAGCCCTTGACAGAGCCCTTCTCAGAAAGGGACACCTTGGCTGTCACCCCGACGGACTCGGACGGAGGGGCCTCCCCCAGCCCCGTGGCCATGGCAGGGCTGGGGTCCCTCCTGGAGTGCTCCCCAGCGCTGCTGGGCGAGGTTGACCCTGACCCACTCGTGGACCCCGAGTTTGTGGCTGGTGGGGTGCTGTGTCCTGGCACAGGGGCACATCCAGCTGCTGGACTGGGGGGAGAGGGGTACCCCAGTGCTCCGGTGGGGTGGGGTGAAGATAACCAAGACTTGCTTCCCCAGGAGACCTGTCCTGGCCGAGTGTCCCCCTGCCAGCCCCCAGCCCCAGACACAGCGATGGAGGAGCTGGGGTCCCCCCCACGGCACAGCCAGGCTGGCACTGAGGGCATGGATCCGTTCAGGACCCATCACCTTCTGCCTGGAAGGACTGAGGTCGCCGACTGGGATGTCCCAGAACTGGTTTCTGAGGATGAAGCCACAGATTTGGGATCAGGGAGTGGAGCTGAGGGCTGGACTCATCCAGCAGGGAGTGGGGATGTTTGCTGTGGTTCTCTGCGGCCTTTCCACGCTGGCTCTGCATCAGAGCCAGGCTCCAAGGCTCCGACAACATTCCCAGTGCCTGCTGAGGACCTCCCATGGGAAATGGTTTCCCTTGGCCGTGCCCTGTCGCTGGAAGGGGCTGCCCACACAGAGGGGTGCCCAGTGGAGGTGGCTGTCACACATGGGGGGACACCAGCAGCCGTCCTGCAGCCAGGAGATGTGGACTTATTTATTGCCCCCAGCTGGGAGGTCCCATGTCCCACCAGCCCAGCCACCCCTGAGGAGCTTCCTGGCACATTGTCCATTGCAGGGCCTGCCATCCCATGGGATTTTGGGGAGCTTTCTGCTCCAACCCACCCACTTTCAGCAGGAGATGTGGCTGTCCTGGAGCCCCAGGCTCAGGGGGTGCCACCAGCCACCGGGGATCCTACCATGGATGCTGAGGAACCTCCAGGAGCCACCACCACTGCCATGCCCTTGATGGTGGAGGAGCTTCTGGAAGCCCCACCACCCTTTGCTGACGTGCCTGTTGCCACTGTGCCACCACCAGCGGCCGAGCCACTCGCCTCGGCTGCCAGGGACCTCAGTGGTGACCCCGTGCCATTGGTGGTGTCCTTGGGGGACACAGATGACTTTGCCATCATGGTTGTGCCACCCGTCCTGGAGCACCTGCCCGCTGAAGTGGTGGCTTTGGAGGATGACCCCGTTTCCAGCTTACCTGCAGCAGGGGTGGCAGCATGGGAGGGTCCCCCTGGTGCCTTCTCACCCCTCCCAGAAGGTCCCACCACCCCAGAACTGCTGGGGACACCTTTTGCCACAGCAGCCAGGGCACAAACCCTCCCCAGGGCTGCGTTGAGGGGCCCCCTCCGTCCCCGCAGCTGTGGGGGTGCCCTTTCCCTCTGTCCCAGCGAGGGACAGGGGACATCAGGCACGGAGGGACCCCTCGGCGCCGCTGCCATGGCAGAAGGGCCCCCTGCTCTCCCAGATGGATTCGTTCCAGATAACGAGGTATTTGTTGCTCAGGCTCCCGCAGCCGGGGCTTCAGGCGCAGAAATCGCTTTATTTTGCACTCCAGGGATGGGTGGGAGGTGGGAGCCCGCTCAGTAACGCACGATCTGGGCTTCCAAACAGCCTTCTCCCTCCTGAGATCGGCTTGAATTTGGCAGGGAAAAAAGTTTTTTTTTGGGGGGGGGTGGGGGGGGGGGAATTGTGTGATTGTGTAAGTAAGGGAGGCAAAAGATTCTCGCTGCTCGATGACCTGAAATGTTGACTTGCACTTTTTTGGCTTATTAAAGTACATTATGGTCACTCAGATGGAAATCACGGACTTTAGAAAAACCTTCTCGCTGGCTCCTGGCAGGGAGTTCCCATCTTTGAAGCAGAAAATATATCAGGAAAGAGAAACCTGTAAAACGAATTAAGTGCAAGCAATTCCTGCCCCGTGCAGTCATCGCTGTCTGTAGTTTTTTTCTGTGAGCATTGAGGTGCTGAGGCTCAGAAGGTGCTCGGGAAGGGGCTCAGATTCTCTCTGGTGTTTGGGGATTTGTGTTGCTCGTGGCTCTTGCCTGGAGAGACCTCGGTGCTGGAGTTCCCACAGCCGAGTACTGATTTCCTGCCATCTGGATTAGGAGAAATATCACTAAGGAGACATCAGAAGTTAGTCAGCACCAAAAATCCCGATTTGGTGGCAATTACTCATCCTTTGGGCTGTACCACCCCTTCGAGATATGCACGTGGAGGGGCTTGGAGAGGTGGTTTCACATGGGGGTCCACGTGAGCACGGGCTGGGACACCCAGAGGGGGACCTGGGTGAGGGAAAAACCATTGGGTTCTTGCCATAGTTGTTTTTGTTGCTTGAAATTCAGTGTGGGGGGGATCCTTATTTTAGGTTCAGCACCTCTGATTGTTAACCCCACAAACCTTCCCCTTGCTCCAAGCATTGCTGGAGATGCTTACTGGAATTCCACATCCAGCAGCAGAGGGGTTAAGGGAGATGAGGGAAGCAGAAAGCAAGGGAAGCTTTGGGAAGCAGAAAGCAGAAAGCTTTGGGAAGCCTTTCTGGGAGTGAGGAGGAGGTGTGGTGGAGCAGATGTCCTTCTGCTCTCCCAGAATGTCTGTCCAGCTCTTTCCCAGGGCAGGACACCTTGCTCCACAGCAAAGGGGAGTCGTTAAATATTTGTTTCCAAGCTGAGTCACAGTGAGGTTAATGAGCTAAATCACTGGAATCTTTTATGAGCAAAGGAAAACAAGTGTGTTGGACACGCTCACCCTCGGGCTGTTGCTGGGATTATTTTTGTCAGGCTCCTCAGGGAACTCTGGGCTCTCAGTCTGGCTGATACCTGTGTTGCAGGTACCCCTGGTTGGATCATCCAGGCTTTTCCACAGGGCTCCTTCCCTGCCTGGCTCCTTTGGAGTTTGTTTTGCAGTACATGGAGAGCTCAGACCAGCCTGGCATGCCAGGCTTATCAGCCTGATCCTTTTGTGGGTTTGGCTCTTGTACCCAGCAGCTCCATATATAAACAGTAACAGGAGAACAGCCCAGGAATTGGTGATTCCAAGTCCCCATTTATTTCTTATAACCGTGGCAGAATTCTCCATGAGCAAACAGCTCTGGACAGTGTCTGCCAGCTCACCCTTCTCTCATGTCCTGGAGGGACCTCCTTGCCCTCCGGTTGCTGAGCTCTGCTGGGAAAAAGTAGCTTTTCTTTCCTTTGGAAATGAGGCAGGGGAAGTCAAAGCAGTGCCTCTTGCTCAGGCTGGGAGCCGTGCCTGTGTGTTTTGAGGGATTTTGGTGTTTTTAGGGGGTTTTGCTTCGTGCTCCTCCGGAGCCAAGCGGTTGCCGGGCGCAGCGAGCCGTGTCCTCCACGAGCTGCTGCTCTGCTGGGGGAGATCTTGCATCCAAGTGGGAATTTTTCAGTGCAGGCAGTGCCCGTGCATTCTTGGGCACAAGGAGCAGGTGGCTGGTTGCCATCCCCTCTGCTTCCCAACGGGAAAACGTCGTGACAGGGCCAAGGGCTGTGCTGCTGCCCAGCGCCGGCTGCGGGGTGACCCGTGCTCTGCATGAGCTCCTGGGCCAGGGGAGCAAAGTGAGCCAGGAATCTGCTCCCTATTTTTGGGGTGTTTGCTGTGGGGAACAGGGCTGGCTTGTCCCTTGGGACTGGTGGGGAAGGACTGCAGAGGGACGGGCGCGTGGTTCCAGCAGATCCCCAGCTCTGATAAAGAGCATTTATCTCCTCCGGAGAAACAGGATTCTCCCTGCTGCCTCTCCTGACAATGGGGAGCTTCATTCGCTCTCCTCCCCCTTCCCTATCAAATCTTTTTTGGTTTAGAAAGCTTTTCCCCACAGGATTCCCAGGCAGGACCGTGCCAAATCCGTGGTAAACGACTCGCACATTAATTGCCTATTGCCTTTGTCTTTCGAAATACAGCGAGCTCCTCGCTGCCTGTAATTTCGTGGTTAACAAAACTCATATGATGTCAGGTCTCTGTTCTCAATAGCTTCACTGTGAGAATTGCTTGGGGTTTTTCCCCAGGAGCATTATTTCCCAATCTGATGGCGAGTCGGAGCCGATGCTCTCATTTCTTCCTCAGTTTTCTCTTTTTTTTACCTCACTCCAGTGGTTTTCCCAGGAAAAATGGGATTTACCCATTTAAAACCAGAGGTGGGTGTGGATAGACCCTGAGTTGTGCTCCAAACCAGCAGATTCCTGTGACATCTGTGTCACTAGGTCAAGGCAAGGGAGGAGTTTAGACAAACTTGCACAATTCCAATAAAATCAGTGCAAGTGGCTACTGCATCTTCCCTAGAGAGGAAAGCCTGTTGTATCCATGGAAAGACTGAGCAGCTGGAAGAGCAGCTCACAGCTTATAAATCACCTTTTCTCTCCCACCTTTTCCACCCCACAGCAATTCCAGAAGGAGCAAGTGGATCCCCTCCAGCTGAAGCTGCAGCAAGTCAATGGAGTTGGTCAGGGACTCATCCAAAGTGCCGGGAAAAACTGTGATGTCCAAGGGCTGGAGCATGACATGGAAGAAATCAACACCCGCTGGAACACCCTCAACAAGAAGGTGGGAGCATGGGGAGGGGCTGTCCCTGGTTTTTCTGGGATCTGGGGGAAGGAGGGGATCACGGGCAGGGAGCTGAGGCTCCGGTGCCAGTGCCTGACACTGCAGTGGGGTTGTTTTTGGGGTGCAGGTGGCCCAGCGAGTGGCCCAGCTGCAGGAGGCCCTGTTGCACTGCGGGAAGTTCCAGGATGCCCTGGAGCCACTGCTGAGCTGGCTGGCAGACACTGAGGAGCTCATCTCCAACCAGAAACCTCCCTCTGCTGAGTACAAGGTGGTGAAAGCCCAGATCCAAGAGCAGAAGGTGAGTGAGCACTGGGTGGTTCTGTGGGAGGGGAGCTCAGGACAGCCAGACAATATTTTGGGGGTCCAGCTGGGATGTCCATGCTTCTCTCCTGGTGGATCTCAATTCCTCACATCCCAATGTAGTGAACAGTTTGCCCACACTCAACGATCTCCTAAATCACCGCGTCCCTTCGTTCTCCCCCTGCCTCTTGAAGTTGGTTTTGCTGGTTGGCCATGTTTTTCCAGCCCTGAGTTTTGCTTTGTGCTGATAATTCTGCTGTGTCAGGAGCGAGCTGGTGGTGGTGCAGGGCCTGTTTTGGGTGTTTGGACAAAGGGAACGTTACAAAGTGTGAGAGCAGGCCCAAGGTGTGCCGGTGTTTGCTGAGATAACAGCCCGGGGTCGGCGCCTGCCCTTGGAGTGGGAGGAGGGGAGGTCAAGTGTGGTCATGGGGAAATATTTTAGAAATGAATTCTTACCCAGGCTTGGTCTGACGTGTGGAGGTTGGAAGAGGAAATGTGCTTCAAGTGGAAGTTAAAAACTTGATAAGTTGGAGGGGGTTGGTGGGAAAGACTCGGAAAACTCTTCTAGCACAGAAGTGGTTTGGATCTTGAGTAGTGTAAGAGAGGGAAGGGGAAAGAAAAGGGGAAAGTGAAAAGGTAAAGGAAAATGGAATGGAATGGAATGGAATGGAATGGAGTAGAGTAGAATAGAATAGAATAGAATAGAATAGAATAGAATAGAATAGAATAGAATAGAATAGAATAGATGAAATGAAATTTCAGTTGGATGGAACCTACAATGATCACCCTGTCCAGCTGCTTGACCACTTCAGGGCCGCCCAAATCAAAGCATGTGATTATTATAATGTAATACAATATAACAATATAATATAGCTCTATAACTTTTTGAACTGGCTTTGAAGGCGGAGCCGTGCCCGGTACTGGCAGCACTTCTGAGCCACAATTAGAGATCTGACCCCTCCAAGGGCTGGATCTGGTTCTGCTGCCCCAATCTGCCAACTTCCCCATTTCCTTTGCCTCCCCCAAGCTGCTCCAGCGCCTCCTGGACGACCGCAAAGCCACGGTGGAGATGATCCAGGCGGAGGGCGACCGGATCGCGCAGGCGGCCGAGCCCGCGGACCGCGACAAGATCGTGGGGCAGCTGGAGAGCCTGGCACGGCACTGGGAAGGGCTGCTGGGCAGGGCAGCTGCCAGGTGAGAGCGCTGGCACCAGCTCGTGCCACGGGTCACGGTGCCCCGGAGCCTGGGGTGACAGCATTCGGGAAGCCGGCGGAGATTTCGGTGCAGATACATCCTGGAAACAGCTGGAAAACATGAGGAATCAAAGGCTGGTGCTGATAGCAGTGGTTTACAATGGCAGGGAAGAGCTGAGATTAAATAATTTCCCTGCAGGGGAGGGATGTTATTTTTATTCCTGTAAGCTTTAACGTTTAGCAACATCCTGTTGACACCTTTATGCTGCCAGAATTTTGTTTATGAGTTACTTATTTCTACCTAAGCTGATGTTTGAGGTTATGAAGTCACTTCTGAGGCCAGATTGGACCTTTCTCCATGTTTTCAGTCATTGCCAGCAAGCTGGACTATCCATCCAGGACTGTCCATCCAGGATTGTCTTTAACCAGAAGCTCTGAAAGACCAAGAGCCTGGCCACAAGCTGAGGGATCTCCAAGACAGTGATAGGGATGGAACAAATGGAACTAAATGATCTTCAAGGTCCTTTCCATCTCAAACTGTTTCATGAAAAGCTGCACAATGGGGAAGCCCTTCTGCTACCTTCACAGGGCAATAAACTAAAGGCACAGCTGCAGGAAAAGCTTATTTTGCAGTTCCTCCACATTGATTTTTATCTTTGCCATTGTAGCTTGCCTGACAATGGTGTCTCACCTTGCTCTGAACAAAGCTGCTTCTTCCAAATACCTGAAGCTGCTTCCCATGCCTGGCTCCAACTGCGAGCTGCTCCTTAGTGTTTTCACTGACCCTAAGAATCCCAGACTGGTTTGGGTTGGAGTGGACATGAAAAACCATCTTGTTCCAGCCCCCTGCTGCGAGCAGGGACACCTTCCCCCAGACCAGATCAGGTCGCTCAGGGCCGCATCCGACCTGGCCTCTAACAATTATTTCCTTCTAATTTTATGACTACTTTTTATAGGCAGAAGCAGCTGGAGGATATCTTGGTGCTGGCAAAGCAGTTCCATGAAACCACGGAGCCCGTGTCCGACTGGCTGTCGGTGACAGAGAAGAAACTGGCCAACTCTGAGCCCATTGGCACCCAGACTGCCAAAATCCAGCAGCAGATCAGCCGCCACAAGGTAGGACCTGTGCAGGAGGTGGTTGGAGCCAGGTCCTGCTTCAGTGGTTGTTTCCACCACAACCAGAGAGGTTTTTGGCACAAACAAGGACTGGAGGAGTTATCCAGGCTGTTTTATGTACAGAGAAGGCTGCAAGCCCTGGCCCACCAGCGTGGGTAAACATTAAACTGGTATCCTTGCACCTCCCAGCAGATTTGGCTAGCAAAAACCATTCCCATTCATGTGTTTCTTTTTAATTTCCACTCAGTTTACCCATTCAGGGGTGGCTTTTATGTCTCCCATTTTTCAGTTACGTTCATTGCTGCGTTCCCCCTTTTACGTTGCGTTTATTTCATTTCCCTCATTCTCCACTCATTTATTTTTTTTTTCCCCACCCCTTTCTGTTGTCCATTCTACCCTCCACCCTTCAGGCTCTCGAGGAAGAGATAGAGAGCCACTCCACCGACGTGTCTCGGGCTCTGGGGGTCGGGCAGTCGCTGTCCTCCCTGAGCTGTGCTGCTGAGCAGAGGCTGCTGGCAGAGAAATTAGAGGCTCTGCAGAGCCGCTACGGCGAGGTCCGCGAGCGGTGCGGCCGCAAGGCAGCACTGCTGGACCAGGCTCTGGCCAACGCCAGGATTTTTGGGGAGGAGGAGGTGGAAGTGCTCAACTGGCTGGCTGAGGTGGAGGACAAGCTGGGCTCAGTGTCCGTAAAGGATTACAAACGGGACGTCCTGCAGAAGCAGCATGCCGACCAGCTGGTATTTCCCCTTTTTTTTTTTTATTTTCTTTTCTTTCTTCCATGTTGTTTGTTTTGTTGCATTTTATCTGGTTTTGTTTATGTTTCTGGCCTGATTTTAATTTTGCGAAGCTCGCTCCGCTGCTGGGTCTGTCTGAGGCTTGGAGAGGAGTGTAAAGAGATTTCATGTGTTACAAACAACAATTGTGGGCCTCCCACCCCAAAAAATGGGTTTCTCAAGGCGGGGGAACTTCAAGTGGTTCATTTGATTTGTGAACAGTGTCTGAGCCGGCTTGGCCACCCTGTGCCTTCAGAAAGCTGGATGCTGTTTCCAAAACTGAGAGCTGGAAAAGTCTGGTGGGTTTTGGAGCTGGGCTGGCCACTGAGGAAGCTTCTGCATCTGCTCCCTGGGGCTGTGCAGGCTCTTTTCAAGAGTGAGGTTCTGTCTAATACAAGGGCGAGTCCTTTGGTGACACAGATCCAATGGGTTGGTTGGGTTTGCTCTGAGATTCGGGCCTTTGAGTCCCAGAAATCCCAATAATTCCCATAGCAGGATGACTGGACAGTTTTCAGATGAGTTGTCCAGCCTGCCTGTGCTCAGTAGGGAAGTTCATGTTCCCCACAGCATCTCTGGCTGGCAGGACACAGGGACCTGCCTGCAGCAGGATAACCCAAATTTGCCTTTTTCTTCAGGCTCTGAATGAGGAAATTGTGAACAGGAAGAAGAATGTGGACCAAGCCATTAGAAATGGACAAGCTCTCCTGAAGCAAACCACAGGTAACACAGAGGAGATCTTGGCACACTCTGGGAAATGTGGGGGGTCTGGGAATCCGTCCTCCACATGCTTTTCCTTGGGAAGTCCATGCTGTGTTGGGTGGAGGCTTTTCTCCCTCAGGTCTTCATTTCCTTTTGGAAACTCCCAGAGTAGCTGGTTTGCATCCAGACTTGCATGCTAAGCCACAAACACTCCAGCTTAGGATTTGCTTGGTCCCAAAATCCCAACCTCACAGCTTGGGGAGCAGATGATTCCCACTGCTGCTGTGGGGATGCTCAGTGCTGAGGGAGGCTTTTCTCACTGCAGCCAGCTGCTAAATCACATGGAAAAGAGGTTAAAAATACCCCCAGCCCTCTCCTAATACTGCTTTCCCAGACTGAGCAGTTGTGGCTGTTGCCACGTGGGTGTGAGTTTATGTTTATGAGTGGGAAGAGAGGTCGGGGCGCTGTGTTTCCTTCAGATGTGGTCTGCTCAGAGCAGATGTCCAGCCCTGTGTCCTTGTGGGAGCTGTGGAGCAGGAAGAGTGATTACAAAGGATTTGGCAGGCAGCTCTGTGTCCTCTTGGAAACAGCAGCGAGGGGTGAACTGACCCTTTTTTCTTGGAGCTGTGACACGTTGCTGAGAGCTGAGTTGGGGTGGCTTTGGGGCTTGTGATAAAACCAGTCTTGGCAGCACACTTCCATCCCATCCCATCCCATCCCATCCCATCCCATCCCATCCCATCCCAGGGATGAGGTGGATGTTCAGCTGGTGGAAGATGTCAACTCTTAGTAAAAACAGGCTGCATTAATACAAAGAAAAGCCATGCTGGAATTCGCTGTTTAAAAGAGTGAAGGACAGAGAAAGTGGCTCCTGAAGCCTCCTGGGGTGGCTCCTTCAGCCCCCAGAGCCCAGCATCATTTTCCCCTTGCTGCTGTCCCGCAGGGGAGGAGGTGCTGCTGATCCAGGAGAAGCTGGATGGGATCAAGACCCGCTACTCCGACATCACCGCCGCCAGCTCCAAGGCCCTGCGCACGCTGGAGCAGGCCAGGCAGCTGGCCACCAAATTCCAGTCCACCCACGAGGAGCTCACCGGGTGGATGAGCAAGGTGGAGGAGGAGCTGGCTTCCAGCGGGGCACAATCCCCTGCTGGAGAGCAGATCCCCCAGTTCCAGCAGCGGCAAAAGGTGGGAGAGCCGAGCCTGGGTCGGGACGGTGCATTTGGGAGGAACTGGGAAGGACACAGATCATCCATGGGTGCCTTCCACAGGAGCTGAAGAAGGAGGTGATGGAGCACAGGCTCGTCCTGGACACGGTGAACGAGGTGAGCAGGGCTCTGCTGGAGCTGGTTCCCTGGAGAGCCCGGGAGGGGCTGGACAAGCTGGTGTCGGACACCAACGAGCGCTACAAGCTGGTCAGTGACACCATCAAGCAGAGGGTGGAGGAGATCGATGCTGCTATCCAGAGGTCTCAGCAGGTGAGGGAAAAACCCCTGCAGGGTTTGCTTGGGAGAGCAGGAGCGAGCAGCCAGGCACTGCTCGTCACATGGGGCCCTGGCAGTGGGAGGGGTGGCAAGCACAGGCAGACAAAGGGCAAATCCCATCAGGAATGCCAAGGAATGGACCCCAGCAGCAGTGTGGATGGATTCCATCAGGAATGCCAAGGAATGGACCCCCAGTGGCAGCAGGGATGGTGGCTGACCCGTCCTGGTGTGTGGTTTTGGGATGGGATAACTCTGGAGCAGCACTGTGTTGTCCTGCCTGTGAGCTTCTGCCTGCAGGGGTGGTGTAGATGGTGTGAAACTGGTGAGGGGTGTCTGTCAGAGCTGGGAAAACATCATTCCCTGCTGGGAGAGCACAGGGATTTGTTCCAGGCCAACAGTCCTCCCCAAAAAGGCTTGTCCTGCACAGACTGGAGTGCTGGGAATACCTGACCTCCCTCCATGGAGGAGCAAAGGAAATGCTCCTGTTTATAGAAATGTCCCTTTCCCTGCAGGCAGGGAGGGTGTAGGGGGAGGTGACTGCTCCAGCTTGCCCCAAAACCAGCTGCAGGAGCCACAATGGCAGCATGCAGTCAGAAAGCTGAGCCCCACCCCAGTTGTCCCTTTCTCCACACACTGGGGTGAGGCGTTTGTCCCTGCTGGGTCCCTCTGTGATTCCCACTGTGCCCAGCTCCCCGTGTGCTCCACCCCTGCTGCCCAGCACTGACCAGTGTCCCTCCTCTCCCCTGTGCCAGTATGAGCAGGCAGCTGATGCAGAGCTGGCCTGGGTGGCTGAGACCAAGAGGAAGCTGATGGCTCTGGGTCCCATCCGCCTGGAGCAGGACCAGACAACGGCTCAGCTGCAGGTGCAGAAGGTCTGTGTGCACTCCCTGGTGGGTTCTGGGGGGTGGGCAGCAAGGAGGGATGGTCCAGTTTGGGTCATGGGATGCATTTTGGGGGAGCAGCTTTACCCAGAGGTGTGCAGTGCTGAGCTCAGAGCAGCAGCAGAGATGCAACGCTTGTCCTTGAGATGTGAAAGGAAAAACAAACAAAGGAAAAAATTGCTGTAAATCATCCAAGTGCTGGGCTTCCCAAGGAAAAAGCTTCCTGTCTGTTCACAGGAGCCATTTAGGGCTTGATGGGTGCTTTGCTTTGGTCTCCCTTGGGAGAACTGCTCCCATTGAAGCCTTTCCTTGTGGCCACCAGAGCAAGCTCTGCCAGGGTCTCACCGGAGCTGGCAGCAGGAAGGGTTTTGAGAAATGTATATATTGATTAATGAGGGTGGTTTCCATTTGCTTTTTGCTCATTGTTCCCTGCAGTGAGGGACTCCACAGTTCCCTCCCGGCAGCCAGACGTGGAACAAAGAGGTGCTGGAGGGGTTGGTTTTTTTTTGTTTTTTTTTTTTCTGTGTATCTTTGAGATGAGCTCATGCCTGAAAGAACATGCACTTGAAATAAACGGCCCTTTTCTTCCCTCTGCCTGGGCAATCAGAGCAGCACGCAGGCTTATTGGATTTAAAATTAAAGGAAAAAAAAAAAGGAAAATCAGACAGTGTTATAAGAGAGGGGGGATTGAACCATCGAGCATTAAGTTAAATTGAGCTCAGCTTCCCGCTGTTAATCTCGTGGACCTTGGGAATGGCAAAGTTATTGGTGGATGCAGCTCTGGAGAGCATCATTTTGTGGGATAACATTCACTAACAAATGGGTGATGGAGCTTTTCCTCCACTGAGGACCTTGGGTGGGGATTATACCTAATTTTAAGAGCTGTTTTGGGGTCTTTGAAAGAGAGAGGTTGGTGTAGATGAGGAAAACAGGCAGGAATCTGCATTCCCAGCCAGATTTTCAGTTTGCCACAGGATACTTGCTCTGAGTTTTGCAGGGTCTCTTTGGCAGGAGGATGCTGTGGATGGGCTGGGGGGAGGCTGGGCTCAGCTCTGAGCTCTCCCCTTTCCCTTCCTGCAGGCGTTTTCCATCGACATCATCCGGCACAAAGACTCCATGGATGAGCTCTTCAGCCAGCGCAGCGAGATCTTTGGCACCTGTGGTGAGGAACAAAAAGCTGTTCTCCAGGTGAGCCCCCTCTGCTATTTACTGCAACAGAGAGGTGAATCCTGAGCCCTTGCACGGGCTGAAGGAGTTTAAAATTACTCCACCTTCAGTAATGCCCACCAGTGCTAGCAGAAATCCCTTTACAGTTATGACTCTCCTTTATTGCCTGTTTTTATTGCAAAGTTTGGGGATGGGGAGGGGGAGATTCCCGAGGCTGCTTTAATTGGAATTACAACGTGGAAGGCCACCAAAGGCACCTCCTTCTCTTCCAGCTCTCAGCATGGAGCTATCCCTTTTCCTGGGCCCTTTTGCATCCCTCCCCATAACTCTCCCCCCTGGTTTTTTTTTTTTTTTTTAGGAGAAAACCGAGTCCCTGGTGCAGCAGTATGAGGCTGTGAGCCAGCTCAACTCGGAGCGCTACGCCCGCTTGGAGCGTGCCCAGGTCCTGGTCAACCAGTTTTGGGAGACCTACGAGGAGCTGAACCCATGGATTGAGGAGACCCAAGCCCTCATCTCCCAGCTGCCACCCCCAGCCATCGACCACGAGCAGCTCAAGCAGCAGCAGGATGACATGAGGGTAAGAGGATGCAGAGTTTGCACCTCTTGTCTGTCAACAGAGGGCAAGAGCACCTTTTTCTTCTCAGTTTTTCTCCATTTTCCCCCTTTTCTGGTTTTTTTTTTTGAGAGGGGGTTTGCTTGTGTAATGCAACAGCCACATGAAAATCTCTTGTTATATTGGAGCGCTCCTTACCAAAATTCAGCTTGCTTCCAAGGAAACCTGGCTGCTTTTGGATCTCCTTCCTGCTCGTGGCAGGAAAAAAAAAACCACTTTGTGCTTTTAGGGTAGAGACTGCAAAGCAAAAAATTCCCAGTGGGGTCCCCCGTGGAGCTGTGGGGAGGGTCAGAGGCTGGGGAAGGACCCGTGCCAGGCACTGTGCCACAGCCATGTTGGGAAGAGCCGAGTGCCATGTGCTTGGCAGATGCTGGGGCATGAAATCCAGGGTGTGAGTTCCTCCCAGATACCATCCCTGCTCTTGGAGTGCTGTTTGGAATAAATAGGCAGCGGCTCACAGCAGATTTCTAAACAAATGTGTTTTTTTTTTCTCCCCCCCTTCCCTCTATTCCCTAGCAACTGAGAGAGTCCATCGCTGAACACAAACCTCACATCGACAAGCTGCTGAAAATCGGGCCTCAGCTCAAGGACCTCAACCCTGAGGAAGGGGAGATGGTGCAGGAAAAATACTCCAGGGCTGAGGCTTTGTATGCCAAAATCAAGGAGGAGGTTTGCCAGCGGGCCCTGGCGCTGGATGAGGCATTCTCACAGTCCACCCAGGTATGCCAGGGAGGTGAATCTTCCTCTCACAGCCCCCTGGGAGAGCCATGTGCTTTGGAATGTGGTTTTATTCCCCCTGTAAAAGCCCTTTATAAGGCATAACGTGGTCAGGCACCTCCAGGGTAGTTTCCTGCTGGCTGTGGGAGCAGAGGAGAAGGCGTTTTGAGGCTCCACACAGTAAATAGGGTTGTAAATTTTTACAACCTCAGTAACGATGCTGGTTCAAAGGGGCTGCTGTGGCATCCACCCAAGGTTGGAAGGGCCCCTTGAAAGAGCTTGAAGAGATAATTTTCACTTCTGATAAGCTGTGAGTGCAGTGGGCAGCCATGGGATGCTTTGTATGGGAGAGGTAACGGATGTCTCCGGGGTCTGGGCATCTCCTGAGGAAGTGGGAGTGCAGGAGTGCAGGAGGAGAAATGGGAAAGGAAGGGCAGAGACTGGAGGTGGTAAAGTCCAGAAAAGGGGGTGAAGTGCTCCTGTTGCTGAGGGTTGATGACCCCCAGTTATGTTTCATTTCACCCCGTGTCACCGTAGCGCAGTTGGTTTCTGTCACGTCCTGGGTGTTTATTTTCTTAATTCCTGTATTGTGTAGTCACTTCTCTTGGTTTGCACTTGTATTAACTCCGAGTTTTTCCCCCCCCCTCCACATTCCCCTCCCCTCTCATCTCTCACTCCCACTGTGGAATGTGTTGTCTGTGTGTGTTGCTGCCTGTGCCCGTCCTCCCCACATGGTCCCATTTCATTCTTGTGTTGACTGCGCCCCACCATTGCAGATTTCGGAGGTAAGCGAGTCCCCCCCTCCACAGATGTCCATTTACCCTCCCTGGCCTGATTCTATCTGACACCCAGACTTTCATTTCTGGTCCATGCACAGCTCAGCAGAACTCGCTTCAAATTTAATGCTGGGGGTGGGGCTGGAAGCACATTTTTTTGGGATGGCTTTGGTTGCGTTGGTGCCTGCTCTCAGCTTCCGCTGGGAATGCTTCCTGCAGGGCAGAGGTTTTGCTTTTGGAAGGGCTCACACTGCTCCAGCTGGATGTGCTGGCTTGCTCCTGCTTCTTGGCTGAGCCAGCCTGTCCTGATCAACTTTGCACCGAGAGCCCCAGCCCCTCTCTGCTGGGATTTAATGGGCACCTGCACCGGTGTGTTCCCAGTAGGAACTGGGAGAGGGACAACAGTGGCCCCAGTGCTGAGGTGTCCTTCCCACCAGCAGAGACAGTTTGGGATCTTTAAGGCCAAAGTTGACTTCTCTCTCAAAAAAAACCAACAATAAATCCTGCTAGACCCCCCTTCCTCGCTCACTCCTGGCTTTCTGGTTCTGCTTTTGAGGCCGCAGCTCCTCCCCACCCGCATGCAGCTCCTGCTGACCCTAAAAACTGGGATGGGTTTCCATTGGCCTTGCAGCACGTGGAGGTTCCCATCAGCACCAAACACGGGCGCTTTTCCAGCAGCATTTTTTTGCCTGGGTGTTCCCTCAACCAGCACTGAGGTTTTGTGCCCAGCCACCGAAACAGAGACAGCAGCAAAAAAAGTGAATTTTTAGGGTGCCGCCGTGTTTGGGTCATGGTGTCTGTGGGTGCTCTGTGGGCTCTGCTGGAGCAGGTGTGAGCAGGGGTGTCCTTGCTGCTGCAGGGGTGTCGTTGCTGCTGCAGGGGTGTCACTGCTGCTGCAGGGGTCTCGTTGCTGCTGCAGGGGTGTCCTTGCTGCTGCAGGGGTGTCACTGCTGCTGCAGAGGTGTCCTTGCTGCTGCAGAGGTGTCCTTGCTGCTGCAGGGGTGTCCTTGCTGCCGTCCTTGTCCGTCCCCTCTCCGAGGCGGCGCAGCGCTCGCGGCCGTGGCTCACGCTGGCAGCTCTGTGGTGTCACCTTGTCCCCTCCCTCCTGCCCTAATGGCTCTGCTCCTCTCCAGTTCCACGACAAGATCGAGCCCATGCTGGAGACCCTGGAGAGCCTCTCCTCCCGCCTGCGGCTGCCGCCCCTGATCCCCGCCGAGGTCGACAAGATCCGGGAGTGCATCAGCGAGAACAAAAACTCCACGGTGGAGCTGGAGAAGCTGCAGCCCTCCTTCGAGGCCCTCAAACGCCGTGGGGAGGAGCTCATCGCCCGCTCCCAGGGAGCTGATAAGGACCTGGCAGCCAAAGGTAGCTCTGGGTGGATTTAAGCACTCAACTTCTCCCCAAACCGTGGCTCCATCACTGCTGGCGAGGATTTGGTGTCACGGGGGGGTGTGTTTTGGAGGTTCTCCTGGTTTTAGGAGGAAGGATGAGTATTCTGGATGGATGTGGGAGGTTCTTCTAGACTTAGGACCAAGGTTGAGTCCTCTGTATGGATTTGGGAGGTTCTCCTGGCTTTAGGACCAAGGATGAGTGGGATGGATGGATGGATGGATGGATGGATGGATGGATGGATGGATGGATGGGTGGATGGATGGAGAGACCTGCTTCCATCTGGAACAGACAGGGTGCCATCAGTCAGAAGAGAAAAGAAGCATTTGTGGCTTCTCAGCCCAGCTGGCCTCTTGTTGGTGGCCCCTGGGACAGGATTTGTTGATGTTGCTTCGGCATCTAATGGAGGGGAGGGACATCCCCCAGCACAAAAAGCCCGTCAGCACCATTGGCACTAATTGGCACCTTCCTTGGCAGATCAACAGGCAGCTCATGCACTGAGTGAGCAGGGACTTCATGCTAGAGGTGGCCAGAACAGAGGTTTGTTGGAGGGAGAGTGTGTGGGCAAATTTGCCCCGAGCTTGCACATAAATAAAGGCTTTTCTGCAAGCTGGAGTTTCTCACGTCCCCCTGAGTTAATGCTCTGATAGCCCTGGCCATCTTTATTCCCCTCTGGATATTCTCTTGGCTGTTTCTGAGCGTTTTCAAAATGCTCTTGCATTTTCAGAAGGTTTCCTTCTTCACTGGACACTTTAATTTCCTTCCACAGTCATCCAGGACAAGTTGGATCAGATGGTTTTCTTCTGGGAAGACATCAAAGCCCGGACCGAGGAACGGGAGATGAAGTTCCTTGATGTCCTGGAGCTTGCAGAGAAGTTCTGGTACGACATGGCAGCGCTCCTGACAACCATCAAGGACACCCAGGACATTGTCCACGACCTGGAGAGCCCGGGCATTGACCCCTCCATCATCAAGCAGCAGGTGGAAGCAGCAGAGGTGAGGCCCGTGGGGCTGTTCCTCAGTCTGGAGCTTGTCTGCCCTCAGCTTATCTGCTGAATTGGGAAGATCTTAGCTCATGACTGTGGCCAGAGGTAAATCAGTTTTGTGGGTGGTCAGTCAGATTATGAAGACTTATTTCCATTGCAGTTTGGAGCTGCAAGGAAAAAGCCAGAAGTGGATTTCACATATCCTTCACCTTAAATCACATTATCTGCTGCTGTTTTGGGAAGCACATGGAGCTCTGTGTGGTCAGAGCTCTGTGCCCACTTGCTTGGAGTGATGTGGAAGCTTGCAGGGCTCTGCTCCCAACCCAAGCCAGAGGCTGGCTGGCTTGGGAAGAGTATATTTAGATTTTGGTCAGACCAGAGATAAGTGTTTGGATTTGTGTGTTGCTGGTTGCTTCAAATAAGTGGCAAAATCCACTTCAGGTGGATTTGAATTGACTCAGGCCTTGAGGAGCAGGGATGTTTCTTTATGCTTTGCTAAGTTTAGCCTTGCTGCTCCCTTTTCATAACCATTCCAGCTCTGGTTTGTACCTTTTGAACCTCAAAATCCTCACTCCTGTATTGACAAAACGCTCCTGTAAACACACATCTCCTGTAAACAACATCTTCAGCCAGGACAGTTCAGGCTCGCAGCTAAATACAGATGTTCTTATTTTAGTCCCAGAGGTGGGAGCAGAGCAGGGTGGTGCTGGTGACAAAAGTGGCCACCTGCTCTCTGTTGTGGAAGGGGCTGACAGCTGCTCTGTGAGCCAGGGAGAGTCAGCTGAAGAAGAAGCTGATAAGGTTCACGTTTACCCCTGCAAGGAGTTCTGCCGAGGTCGTTGACATGGAAACTGAGAAGAAGGAAAAGATAAAGCAAAGAAACCTGCAGTTGGATGTTAGCTGGAAACAGTGGTGGGGACTGCTCTGTACCAATGAACACTGTGTTGATCTGTTGTAACTAATGAGTAAAGCATAAACTTTGTGGGAAGGTATAAAAGACAGCATGCTGTTACAATCAAGATTTGGGAATCTTGAAACAAAGAGAGATGAGAGGAGCCTTCTGAAATTGTATAAATTTCAGGATTTGTTATTTCCAGAATTGTTCTGTGCGACCATCTCAGCAGCAGCACTCTGCTCTCGGGGTTTGGAGTTGGGCTGTTGGCCAAGGTGCAGGGCAGTGGAGCAGGAAAGACCCTCCTGTTCATGGAGCAATTTTGGAAGAGAGTTTGATCATAAAGGTTTTTCTCTGTGGCTGTGCCTCTGCAGACTATCAAGGAGGAGACAGATGGGTTGCACGAAGAGCTGGAGTTCATCCGCCTCCTCGGGACTGATCTGATCTTTGCCTGTGGTGAGACTGAGAAGCCAGAAGTGAAAAAGAGCATTGATGAGGTAGGGAGAGCTTCTCCTCCAGGTAAAATCAGGTGGGAGCTCTGGCTGAGGAGCCTAACGAGTTTTGTGTTCCAGGTAGGGAGAGCTTCTCCTCCAGGTAAAATCAGGTGGGAGCAAGTGGGAGCTCTGGTTGAGGAGCCTAATGAGTTTTGTGTTCCGCAGATGAACAACGCGTGGGAAAACCTAAACAAAACATGGAAGGAGAGGCTGGAGAAGCTGGAGGAAGCCATGCAGTCAGCTGTGCAGTACCAAGATACACTCCAAGTAAGAGGCAGGGCTGCTGGTGTGGAGTGGCTGGGCCTTGGGAGCACCACTGTGAGCTCTCTCCCTGGAGCTGTGCTGGGATTTGCGCTTCCTTAAATCAGGAATCATCTCCTGGGAGAGTGTCTGCAGGCTCTGAGGGAGCCTGAGCTCAACCAGAGGAGGAGCAGATATTTGACTGCATTGGTCATCCCAAAGCTTGATTCCTGCTCAGAGCAGCAGGATGAGGGAAGGCAAGAGAGAACTGGACAGACAGAGCTGCCCTGACCTATGAATTTCATGGCTGTGGGGTGGTGAAAGGACCACCTTCATCCCCTGATCAGCTTCAGGGGGGGACACTGCTCATTCCCTCACCTTGTCCTTGCTCCTTCCAGGCCATGTTTGACTGGCTGGACAACGCTGTGATCAAACTGTGCAACATGTCCCCTGTGGGCACCGACCTCAGCACGGTCAAGGAGCAGATGAACGAGATGAAGGTAACCTGGGAGGGGAGGGACCGGTTCTGCGGCGCTGCTTCTCCTCGCTCAGCTCCAGTGATTCACTCTGCTTCTGGTTTCTGTCCTGCTTGTCTTGGCAGGAGTTTAAAATGGAGGTTTACCAGCAGCAGATTGAGATGGAAAAGCTTAATCACCAAGGTGAACTGATGCTAAAAAAGGCTACGGATGAGACAGACAGAGACATCATCAAGGAGCCACTGACTGAGCTCAAACATCTCTGGGAGAACTTGGGCGAGAAAATTGCTCACAGACAGGTAGAGTGACCACCTGGGGCTGACACAGGATGAAACTGGCTGTGGTGCTCCCCAACCCTTTAAAACTCCTCTTTTCCATCCCTGTCCTTGCCCAGCACAAGCTGGAAGCCGCCCTGCTGGCACTGGGCCAGTTCCAGCACGCCCTGGCCGAGCTGATGGCCTGGCTGACCCACACTGAGGAGCTGCTGGATGCCCAAAAACCCATCAATGGGGACCCAAAAGTCATCGAGGTCGAACTTGCAAAGCACCATGTGAGTATTTTCCCCCTCCAGATACATTTTTAGCCCATTCCCGTGGCAGGACTCAGTTTCTCATGAAGGGTTTGAGCTGTTTTGCTCCCTAGGAGCAGGCAAGGTGTTTAGGAGAGGTGTCCAACTTTTGCCCACCTCATTCAGGTGCTGAAGAACGATGTCCTGGCCCACCAAGCAACTGTGGAGACAGTGAACAAAGCAGGGAACGAGCTGCTGGAGTCAAGTGCAGGGGACGACGCCAGCAGCCTGCGGAACCGCCTGGAGAAGCTGAATTCCTGCTGGGAATCAGTGCTGCAGAAAACAGAGGAGAGGGAGCAGCAGCTGCAGTCCACGCTCCAGCAGGTCAGCAAGAGGCTTTGGGAATGCCCCCGCTGTGCTGTGGGTGCCACTTTTGTTTTTAGGGAGAAATAAAAGGGGGAAAAGAGTTGGGGAGACACTGGGATTTTTTAATGGAAGTTTTTCTGCAGTTCCTGTGGTTCAGAAGTGCAGTGGGGACCAGGCACACCTGTGGGTTGTGGGCACACCAGGTCTCACCCTCCTGAACACGCTGGCCCATCCAGCTCTGCCTCTTTATCTGCTTTCAAAGCAAACACAGCGTTACCCCTGGCAGATGATCAATGGTGGCTGATGTCATCTGATCCGGGGCCGATTCTCTGTTCCCCAACAGGCTCAGGGTTTCCATGGTGAGATTGAAGACTTCCTCCTGTGGCTAACGAGGATGGAGAGCCAATTGTCAGCATCAAAACCCACAGGAGGTCTGCCAGAAACTGCCCGGGAACAGCTCAATGCCCACATGGTAATTTCTCAGGAGAGTTTTTTGTTTTTTTTTTTTTAATGCTTTGAATTCAGCAAGTTCCTGTCAAATATCAGCATCAAAACTTCTCCTTTCTGTGTGTGATGGGGAGAACAGGCTGCTCTGGTCTCCTCTTACAGATCATTTTGCTCTTGATGCCTGGAACAACCATCAGGATGCTTTAACCACCTTTCCTCAGCTCAAAGTGTCGCTCTGCTGTCATTCCCAACCTCGTGTTCCCATCACCTGCAGCCTTGCAGCACGACATGTTCCCTCTCTGAGCTTTTCTCTGCCTAACCCTTGGCTGGTGGCTCTTTGCAGGAGCTGTACAGCCAGCTCAAAGCCAAGGAGGATGTCTACAGCCAGCTGCTGGCCAAGGGGAGGCTGATGCTGCTCAACCGCGACGACTCCGGCTCCAGCTCGAAGACAGAGCAGAGCGTGGCCCTGCTGGAGCAGAAATGGTGTCTGGTCAGCACCAAGATGGAGGAGAGAAAGGTAACAATGGGGGAAAAATGCGTCCAGCCTTGCCCCATGGTCTGACAGCAGCTGCTCCCTGTTTTCCCACACAAAGTTGGGGTTTGGGGTTTTTTTATCCGTCTCCCTTGGCTGTAAAGGTTGAGTCTGTTTCTCAGGTGGTGCTGAGTGTCAAGCTGTTGGTGTGAGGTTTTTTTTGTAATCATCAGAATTGGTTAAATCACACAGAAAATGAGGGTGAAATGGCATTTTGGGTTAATTCAGGGAGGTGGGAAGAAGCCTCCCGCAGCTCTCAAAGGCAGGCTTTGTTGGTCAAGCCAAACCCTCCTCCAAGCTGACTGCATCCTCAGCTTTTGGCTGGGGATGAGATAAAACAAGGGCCGTGGTGGCCTGGGCCCAGAATAAATTTGCAGCTGCTGCCAGCAGAACCTCATCCCCCATGCACCCAGCCCTGTCCCCACGGAGATCCCTTTCCCAGGAAGCTGAGGGTGACGCAGCTGCTCGTGTGCTGAGGAAGGGCTCCTCTTTCAGGGACCATTCTTGTTTGGAGAGAAAGCCTTGCCTTTCACTGCAGCCCCCTCCCCTTGGCACAGCAGTGGCGTTCCCGGGCTGGGGTGATGAGGTTCCTGTTGCAGGGACACAAAGGCTGCCTCTGTCTGCAGATCAGAGCTCTCACCCTCCGTGTTGTGCTTTTTCCTCTCTTTCTCTCCCTCCTCGCTGCCACAGGCAAAGCTGGAGGAGGCATTGGCCCTGGCCACAGACTTCCAGAACTCCCTCCAGGATTTCATCAACTGGCTGACCCTGGCTGAGCAGAGCCTGAACATTGCACCACCCCCCAGCCTCATCCTCGCCGCCGTGCTGGCCCAGATCGATGAGCACAAGGTACCCAAGGGCTCCATCCCCGGGGTGCAGGCAGCCAGGGTGGCTCCTCACCTCTCCTGTGGCTTCTGGAGGTCGCATCCATCTCCTCTGACACGTGGGACACCCTTTGCTCTTGGCAGGTGTTCGCCAACGAGGTGAACGCGCACCGGGATCGCATCATCGAGCTGGATCAGACTGGGAACCAGCTGAAGTTCCTCAGCCAGAAGCAGGACGTGGTGCTGATCAAGAACCTGCTGGTCAGCGTCCAGTCCCGCTGGGAGAAGGTGGTGCAGCGCTCAGTGGAGCGGGGACGGGCTCTGGATGATGCCAGGAAGAGAGCCAAGCAGGTGAGGGGCGTGGGACCCCAAGGAAGGACCAGCAGGAGGTCCCAGGAGCACAGAGGGACTGGGGACACCACCAGTGTGAAGTTTCAGCCTTGCTCGTGTTGCCTTGCAGTTCCACGAAGCCTGGAAGAAGCTGATTGATTGGCTGGAGGATGCAGAGAATCACCTGGACTCAGAGCTGGAGATCTCCAATGATCCTGACAAAATCAAGCTCCAGCTCTCCAAACACAAGGTGAAGCTCTGCCAAAGCCAGGCTGGTGCTGGACCTGGGGTGGAAGGGGCTCTGTTGGGAGGGTGAGCAGGGCAATATCTCCTCTGCCAGGACAGGAGAAAAGCATGTCCATGCCTCCCATTGCCATGGAAATCTGGGAATCCTCACAGCCAAGGCCAGGCTTTCTGAAGCAGTTTTCTGTTCTCTCCATTTCCCAGGAGTTCCAGAAGACTCTGGGTGGGAAACAGCCTGTGTATGACACCACCATCAGGACAGGCAGAGCCCTCAAAGAAAAAGCCTTGCTTCCAGATGACACTCAAAAGCTGGACAATTTGCTGGGAGAAGTCCGGGATAAGTGGGACACCGTGTGTGGAAAATCCGTGGAAAGGTGAGCCCAGCCCCAAGGCTACACCAGCAGCGCCACGGGGTGGGTGTGGGGTCACTGGGATGTGACAAAAGGAGGTGAGTTTGCTCATGGGAGTTCTCTGGGATGTTTGTTTTCCAGGCAGCACAAGCTGGAGGAGGCCCTTCTGTTCTCTGGGCAGTTCATGGATGCGCTGCAGGCTCTGGTGGACTGGCTCTACAAGGTGGAACCCCAGTTAGCTGAGGACCAGCCTGTCCACGGCGACCTGGATCTGGTCATGAACCTGATGGATGCTCACAAGGTGAGAGCACCTTTCCCCAGCTCTTCTCTGAGTCCTGAGTGGGGCTTGTCCTCCCCAAGAGCCAAAGAACAGGCGCAGAGTTGGTGCTTTGCTGCTCGTCATGCTTTCCTGTAGTGGATAAAGAGGGGAAAAAACAGCAAAAAAACGGGGAGAACTTCCACATTGCTGAGAATGTGACAGGAGTGGGGCTTCCTGGCCTTGCTGAGCTCCTGCTGTGCTCATCCAGGTGTTCCAGAAGGAGCTGGGGAAGCGCACGGGGACGGTGCAGGTGCTGAAGCGCTCGGGCCGGGAGCTCATCGACAACAGCCGGGACGACACCACCTGGGTGAAGGTGCAGCTGCAGGAGCTGAGCAACCGCTGGGACACGGTGTGCAAGCTGTCTGTGTCCAAGCAAACCCGCCTGGAACAGGCCCTCAAGCAGGTGAGGAGGAAACCCGTGGCTGGAAACTCTCTTGGGGTGCTTTGCTGGGCTCCAGAAGGAGGTTTTGCCTCCTTCAGGCAGGACACGCCAGCCCTGCAGGAGCAGTGGGGTGGTATCAGGCTGTTACTGATTGGTTTTCCTAAAAAAAATGAGCAGATAAAGGCTGGTTTGAAAAGGGAGGATGGAAAGATCTCACTGATGTGCACAGCAGTGATCAGACAGGCCAGGCCGGTGTTTGCCAGTGTCCAGAGAGACTCGACTGGAGCTAAAAAAATGAAAAAAAAACCAACCAAAAAGGTCAAAGGCTCTTAAGCAGCTTTTACTTGCAAGTAGGCAATTTACAGAATAAACTACCCAGGTGCCAAATTGCTCAGGATACAGCACTTGTGCTGTTCTAAAAAACATTTCCTTCTTCAGTGCAGCTGATGCCGAGGGGAGGGAGGTGCCAGGAGTTCTGCAGGACCCGGCAGCCCAAACCCCAGCCCCAAACAGGGCTTTTCCCCCTTTTTATGTATTTTTAAAGCCCTTTTCAGCCCTCCAGCTGCCAGGAGTGAAGGCAGCAGGCTGTTTGGGGAGGAGGAGGGCTGACAGAAGGCTGTGCTGTGGTTGCTGCAGGCTGAGGAGTTCAGGACAGCCGTGCACATGCTGCTGGAGTGGCTCTCGGAAGCAGAGCAGTCCCTGCGTTTTCGGGGAGCGCTGCCCGACGACGCCGAGGCCCTGCAGGCCCTCATCGATGCCCACAAGGTAAGGGGGAGCTCCAAAACACAACCCAGGGCAAGTTTAGAGCCGGGGGTGGGGAATATCAGCAAATAATTCCTTTGGGGTTTGCAGGAGTTCATGAAGAAGGTGGAGGAGAAGAGGGTGGACGTGAATGCGGCCGTGGGGATGGGCGAGGTCATCCTGGGCGCCTGCCACCCCGACTGCATCACCACCATCAAGCACTGGATCACCATCATCCGAGCCAGGTTCGAGGAGGTGAGTCCTGCAGGGTTAGTTCCAGGCTGGTGGTGGTTCCGGGGATGGCCACGGAGTGCTGGATCCTGCTCCAGGTTTCCCACGCTGAGTGGTCACCTCATGTTTCCAACAGGTTCTGACGTGGGCAAAGCAGCACCAGCAGAGGCTGGAGTCAGCCCTTTCCGAGCTGGTGGCCAATGCAGAGCTTCTGGAGGAGCTCCTGGCGTGGATCCAGTGGGCTGAGACCACCCTGATCCAGCGGGACCAGGACCCCATGCCCCAGAATATTGATCAGGTCAAAGCGCTCATCTCCGAGCACCAGGTGAGCCCTGAGCTGAGCTCAGGAGAGGGGCAGGGGAGGGAGGCTTCCCCTGGCTCCCTGGGTGGAGGAGGCACTGCCTTCTCCTGGAATTCCCTATTCCCAACTGGAGCAAAACCAACCTAGGGATGATCTGGCAAATCCAAGCCAGCCCTGAGCAGCAGCTCAGCCGCAATCCCCAGTCGCTGGTGCTTGATGCTCACCTCCCTCTACAGGCCTGGCATGACCCAGCGAGGCTGGAAAGCAAAAAAGGCTGAAATCACAAAGGTTTTTTTTTTCTCCTTTCTGTGTTTTTGACAGTCCTTTATGGAGGAGATGACACGGAAACAGCCGGACGTGGACCGAGTGACGAAAACTTACAAAAGGAAAGCAACTGAGCCTCCCCACGGGCCCTTCATCGACAAATCCCGCAGCAACAGTGAGTCTGCTTTGGGTCCTGGGATGGCAGGAAATGAAATTCCTAGGAAGATAATTAGCTTTGATTATCAATTAACGAGGCATCCTGCGCTAACAGCCACCAGGAAGGCGGCTGAGCCTCCTCAGGAGGGGAGAATCCAGGTGACATTTCCCAAAACAGCCGTGCTGGGTGTGCTGTTCCTGGGGGTGCTTGGGCCAGCACTGCTCCCCTCTCTCTCTCTCTCTCTCTGCAGTTCCTTTGGGATGAAGTTTTGGGGTCTTTTTATGTGGTTTCTTGAAGCCAGAGGCCAGTGTGGATTCCTGAGTGCTGGGGGTGTGGGTGTAGAGCTGTCTGTCACCCTGTCCTCCTACCTGGGGACAGCATCCAGCAAGGCTGTGGGAGGTTTTCCCTCCCAAAAAAACCAAAACACATTTCACTGCTGCTCTTCAGACTCCATGAACAGCACCTCAAACAATTCCTCTCCCATTTTTTCCAGGGAAATGCCTGGGGCAGGCTGCTCCCCCCAGCATGCCCATTATCTCCCAGTCAGAAACGAAGAATCCCAGGATAAACCAGCTCTCAGCACGCTGGCAGCAGGTCTGGCTGCTGGCCCTGGAGAGGCAGAGGAAGCTCAACGATGCCCTGGACAGGCTGGAGGAGGTAACAGCCCCTGGCTGCTCTGGGCAGGGTGGGAGTTGGGATTTCATCCCCAGGGAGGTGCAAGAAGCATTTTAAATCAGTGTTGCCCCAGCTCTTACAGACAGTTCCTTCTGCCTTTTCAGAAATCAAATATTCCTGAAATATTAAGGCTAAAAACCTTTCGGTAATTATGTAATTAAATGCACATTAACCAGCTTTGTGCCCCTGTATTTGGTATCTGTAGAGTTAATGACAGCCAGGCCCTGCTTTCCTCCTAGTAATTAGTTTAACAATTACTGTCTCTATTTTATCCAACCATCTAATGTCATTTTTGTTTTTATTTATGCTTAACAAAGCAGCTATGCCCAGAAGTGAGTGGTTTTTTTTTGTTTTCTGTTGCTTTTGCTGTAGGTCAGTTCAGTTCCTTCGTATCCATGTTTTTTCTTTGTTGCTTTTCACCCCAAGAATGTTTAGAGAGAGACCAAAAAAAAAAAAAACCACCTTAAAATTGTTGTCTTACCTTGGTGTGAGCTGCTTGAGCTGGTGGGGTCCTTTTGGGGTGGGGAGATAAGAAGGGTTTTAAATTGGAGGGGACTTGTAGAGCTGGAAAATGAGCAAGAAATCCCTTCTTGGCTGCCCAGAGGGAAAGGGAGAGGGGAGATCCGTGCCCAGATTGATGCTGGCAGTGGGAATTCCTCCCTGGCAAGGTGAGGAAACCTCCCCAGAAGGCCGAGCAGACGGGGTGTGTGTGTGTCTGTGTGCCTGTAGCTGATCTTCCCTGCCTGTGTGTCCCCACAGCAGCGTGGGCAGCGCTGCATCCCGAGCTCCTGGGATGCACAATCCACGTGCTGGCTGTCGGCTCCGCTGTGTGTCCTGTGCTGGGAATTCACTTTGGGCAAACCCTCACTGGGAATTGTCTGGAAAAATCCAGATAAAGCTTCCCAGGAGGGCGGGCAGGGAGCGCTGGCGCCGGGAGCTCACCCGAAGGCGTTTTGGGGTGGATCTGTGAGTGCTGCTCCTTTGGGATTTCCCCCACTGACTCTCCCTGGCTTTTCCTTCCAGTTGAAGGAGTTTGCAAACTTCGACTTCGACGTCTGGAGGAAGAAGTACATGCGCTGGATGAACCACAAGAAATCCCGGGTGATGGATTTCTTCCGGCGCATCGACAAGGACCAGGACGGGAAAATCACGCGGCAGGAATTCATCGACGGCATCCTGGCTTCCAGTGAGTCCCTGGGACAAAACAGCCTCGCTGCTCCTGCATGCCTGTTTGTGATTGAGGAGCCCATTTCCTTCTCCTTGCAGAATTCCCCACCACCAAGCTGGAGATGACGGCGGTGGCCGATATCTTTGACCGCGACGGTGACGGCTACATCGACTACTACGAGTTTGTGGCTGCCCTCCATCCCAACAAGGATGCCTACAGACCCACCACTGATGCTGACAAGATCGAGGACGAGGTGAAGCACCAAAAAAAGGGGGTGCTCAGCAGGGTTGGGGGGCGGTTCAGGCTGCGGGTTGGCAGTGGGGAAGAGAAAAATTCAATTAAAAGAGGATTTTGGTGGTGCTGAGCCAAGTTAATTGGTTGGAACTGAGAGTGTTTTAGAAGGAAAGGCTGCTTGGGGCTGTTTTATCAGAGCAGTGGTTTGCACTGGGGGAGCCTCCCAAAAATCCTGCTTCCTCACCTCTCGTGTTGGTGGTGGCAGGTCACCAGGCAAGTGGCCCAGTGCAAGTGTGCCAAGAGGTTCCAGGTGGAGCAGATCGGCGAGAACAAATACAGGGTAAGGCAGAGGGGGATGGAAACCTCCCCCAAATCCTCCTCCCCCTTCCCACCCGAGGGAGGGGGCATCACCCAGCTTGGCACAGGGTGGGGGACCCGGGCTGAGGCAGAGACCTCGTCCCCTGGCACTGGTGGAGGTGGCTGGGATGTGTTTTCCCAGCTCCATCCTTGGCCCCAGGGCGTTCCCTGGATTGGGAGAACATAAAAGTGTCCCTGTTCTGGGGCAGGCAGCCCGGGGGCCCCGTGAAACGCCGCATTCACTCGGCCGGAGCCGCCCTTGAAGTTTCCCTCCTGGAGGAGTGTTCCTTGTGCCTGTGTTTTTCTTAGCTCGCTCCCGAAGAAGGGAGAATAATTTCCTGACAGGATCTCTTTGTAACGAGCTGCTGGTTGTGTTTCAAACCCTTCACCGAGGGCAGAATTCCCATTTTCCTGCCCCAGCTGGGTTTGGGGTTGATGTTCCAGCTGGGAGGAGCTGATCCCCCTCCAGCAGCCCCAAGCTCCCAGAGCTTCTCCTTCCCCCCAAGTAGCCCAAACCCCCCCCCCCCCAGATTTCTAACTCCTGCAGTTAACAGATTTCATGATTATTGCACTGTTAATCCCATAAATGTTTTTCTTGTTTTTCTTGTTTTTCTTTCCCCTCCTCTTCCTCTGGACTTTCCTCCCCTCTCCCCCTTCCTTCTCCCTACACAACTCCTCTCCCTCCATAGTTCTTCCTCGGCAATCAGGTACAGTTTACCTTGTGGTGCTGTCTCTCTCACCTCTGGGATTTTTTTTTTTTTTAACCACCGTAGCTCTGTGTGTTGTGATGCTGCTCTGTCCTGTGGTGCTGTGGGAGGATGTGATCTGGGAGCTCTGCTCAGCAGAGCCTGGTACAGAGGAGTGCCACCCCCCTAAAAAAAAAAAGAAAAAAAAATTGGGCGGAAAAAAGAGAAAAAATTGGATGGAAAAAGCAGGATTTGGCAAAAGCAGAGAGGTTTTTCTCTCTGGGATCCTCCCCTGGATTTGTTGGGGATGTTCATGGTGGTGAATCGTGGCACTGGGGCACAGATGGAGGTGTTCTCCTGAGGGGCACAGCCAGCCCAGGGGGCACAACCTGCACCAGGCTCGGGGTGGGTTTGGACTGCAATCACCATGGAATGAGAGCACTGAGTAATCCTGTAGGACAACTAAACCCTCATCCCTGCTACTCCCACTGAGTAACTCCTCACTGGGGCAAGGCTCCCCTCCCAGAACCTGCATGTGTCCTGAGTGTGTTGTGACCTGAGATAAGCCCAGCCTCCTTTTGAGCAGGGCTGGAGCACCCTGTGTCCCTCTCATGTCCCCACTGCCCCTGCCCAAATGAAAAAAAATCTTCTTTTTCACATGCAGTGATGGTGCCCAGCCAAAAAGATGCCCCAAAAGATGCCCAAAATGAAACAAACTTGGATGTTGGAAGTGGATGACTCCTGAGAGTTCTGGCTTTAATTTAGGCAGTGATTATAGAAATGTCTTCAACAAAAACTGAAAAATAATGAGAATTGATTCGTCCCTGGGGTTGGCTCTTGAAGGACACCTCTTGTAGAGCCTGGAGAGAAGGAAAAAGTTTCTCTGCTCCTTTCCCTGCCTGGGAGCACAGTGGCAGCCCTTTAACTGAGACAAGGACAGCTTGGTAGGACCCTTGAGCAGGGAGATCCAATGGTCCAGGTCCCAAATCCCTGCAGGCCAGAGGTGTCACCTCCTGCCCTGACCCGTCCCTGTCACTTTGCATTCTCTGTTTTCATTAAATCTCTTATTTTTTGCATTTCCACCCACAGAAAATGTTCCTGTTTGGGTTGTTTTTTTTTTTTTTTCCCTTTTTTTAATCATTCTGGAGAAGGTCTTGCTTCCAAAACCTGGTCCTCCTGTCTTCTCATCCCAGCAGGTGCTCTGCAGACCTGGATGCAGAGCTGCCACATCCAAGCCAGGCTCTCCATGTCCCTCCCAGGTCTGGCAGACACCCAGGAGCCTGGCCTTGGGTGTCCAGGAGATTCAGGGGAGCTTTATAAGCACATGCTTTTGATCTGGGGTGCACTTTTTTTGATACCACAGGCATTTCAAACCACTAATGAACATCGCAATCACTAATCAACATTGCTGGGGATTCCTGCCTGGATTCCCATCACTCTGCACTCACCCAAACATCCTCACTGGGCAATTGCTGCAGCAGGGGCTTTGTGGCTGCTGGGGTCAAGCCTGAGGCTCAGGGGAACCCCTGGGTTTCAGACTTGCTGGTGATCAGAGGTGTCTGGCTGGGCTTGCCCTGCTGAATCAGCCGGCTCCTTCCCACGTGGGCTGCACCAGGAGGGTCAGGGCATTGCCAGCCTCTCTTTCCTTCACCAAAAAAAAAAAAGAGGAAAAAAACTAGAATTCTGGTTGAGAAAACCCATCCAAGCCCAAATTCTAAAATTACCTTTGTTGCTCTAAAAAAAAACAGCTTTAAAATGAAAGCATTTGGGTTGGTTGCATCGTCTTCAAACCAAGCAGGAAAACTCCTCATCAATTGGGATTACCTCTCACTTATTCCAGAAGAACCTGTCTGGAGAAGCCTTTAAACTGTGGAATAGGTGGATGAAAGCCTTTGGTGCAGCCTGGGGAGGGAAGGAACCTTGTTCCCTTGGTTGTTGCCCTTTCCCTGAGCTTTTCCTTGCCCCACAGTTCGGCGATTCCCAGCAGCTGCGGCTGGTCCGTATCCTGAGGAGCACGGTCATGGTCCGTGTGGGTGGAGGCTGGATGGCCCTGGATGAGTTTCTAGTGAAGAATGACCCGTGCAGAGGTAAGGCTTGATGCAATCAGAGTCTTCCCACTCACAGAGGGGAGTTTGGATGCTGTGGCAGGGTGACCAGCGTGGGTCATTATCCAGGTGGGCAGGAGCTGGAGGAAACAGATCCAAAGCAAACCAAGAATTCGGAATCACCAGATTTGGTGATGCTGCAGCAAGCCTGGCAGTGTTTATCCAGGGAAAGAGGGAAGGGTTGTGTTGTCCTTGGTTTTAAGACCTCAGCAAGCGCAGCTGGGGTCACCTCCTCCCCAAAACCTTGATGTGTGACACCGGTCAGAGCCACTGGGCTGGACCAGAGCCATACCCAGGGGGACAGAGCAAGATTAACCAGGGGCTGGCCAGGACTGGAGCATGTTTTGGAGAGTGCTCCATGTTTCCCTGGGGTCTCTGGGATGTTAATTGCTTCGGCTGTGTCTTGTTCAAGCTGCTGCATTCCGTGCTCCGGCTGCCCGACGGCTGTTGCTGAAAGCAGCATGATTTACAGCGAGCTCCGGGGAGAGCCCTCGGGGTTTTCCTGCTCCTCCTCCGCCCTTCACGCTTTGCAGCAGATGTTTTGCAGCGCTGTGACATCGAGGTTGTTTCTAGCCCTTGCTTATCTCAGCGTGGTGCTTCCCCTCCTGCAATTGCTTTCTTGGCTTTTCTGGTCCGTAATCCGTCAGCCCCGGAATTCCTCCAGTGTTCTGTAAGGCTCAGTGCATGCCCTCGCTCTCTGTTTGAACACCCCTGAGCATGAAGCACTCTGGCACACGTCAGCAGAAGCCCACAGACCTTCTCCCTGCTTGGTTGCTCCTTGCTTGTCAAAGGGAGACCCTCCAGCTCTTTGAGGCGTTTGGATGAAAGTTTTTGAAAAGTTGGTTTTCAGTGGCTGGTTGGAAAAGTTGGGAGGGTGGTTTTCTCTCCTTTCTCCCCAAAAAATGCATAGAGAGCTGCCCAGAGCTGTGAGAGAGCAGAATCTCTCTCAGATTCTCAAGAATCTCAACCCTTCAAAGGTGCTTTTGCTATTTCTAAGCCACGTTAAAGATTACAGTGGCTGCTGTTGTGACATGGTGAGTTTGAAGGCCACCAGGATGCTTTTCCACAAGAGAGGAACGGAGCATCCCATGTGAATTCCTGGCGCAGCTTTTAATCAGCCAGTTTCTCAAAGAGCTGATCCATGGCAGGAGGTGGTTTTAAGGCAGAGCAGGAGAACCAGGGCAGCCTTGCTGTATGGTCATGTTCCAGGGTCCCAGGATGAGGGAAGAGATGAGAATCTTGACTCCATGTTTCAGAAGGCTGATTTATTATATTATTATATTATGTTAACTATACTAAACTATACTAAAAAGAATAGAAAGAAAGGATCCATCAGAAAGCTGGAAAAGAAAAGCAAAGGAATGATAATAAAATCTTGCGACTGCTCACAGCCCCGACACAGGTGGCTGTCATTGGTCATCACGTAAAAACAATTTCACATGCTGGCTAAACAATCCTCCAAATCACATTCCAAAGCAGCAAAACATGGAGAAGCTGAAGCTTCCCAGCTTCTCAGCAGAAAAGATCCCGACAAAAGGATTTTTCCTAAAATGTATCTGTGACATTGCCGCTCTGAGACGGGCGTGGGGAGATGCCCAAAGAAGCTGCTCCCATCCCTGGAGCCTCCTGAGCCCTACGTGAGGATATTGTCTCCCTCCAGAGCTGAGTTCTCCTCTCTCCCCTTCCAGCACGAGGCCGGACCAACCTGGAGCTGCGGGAGAAGTTCATCCTGCCGGAAGGAGCCTCGCAGGGAATGACCCCGTTCCGCTCGCGGGGCCGCAGGTCCAAACCCTCGTCCCGAGCGGCCTCCCCGACCCGCTCCAGCTCCAGCGCCAGCCAGAGCAACCACAGCTGCGCCTCCATGCCCTCCTCTCCAGCCACCCCCGCCAGCGGAGCCAAGGTGGGCACAGGGAGGGGATGTTCCTTCCCTTTAGGAGCTGGTGGTCTCCAAAACCCACGTGAGGAGCTGCAGGTGTAGGGAGGAGGAAGGTTGGGGCTTGGGGGCTTGAGGAGGGCTGCAGAAGGTGCTCCTTGGTGGGTGGGATGTGCAGGACAGGTTGCCAGGTTTCCAGCCCACACTTGGATCCCTGTGGATCGCCGTGCAGCTGAAGGCTCCTGCTGCCTGAGGGCTGTGGTGTCAGGAGGAAGCCATCACCCCTCATCTCTCCTTCCCCACCATGCCATTATTTCATCGCCTTTTGGGTTTTTTTTCCCCTTTGTTTTAATTTATGTAGTTCCCGTTTGGTTCTCGCACCATTTTAGTGCCGTTCCCCCCACCCCGTTTTCCAGATGCTCTCCCATTTCTCTTTTTTTTTTTTTTTTTTTTTTTTTTACCACTCATCCCACCTCTCCCCCCCTTCCTTGGCTTTTCCATTTCACAGACTCCACATCACTTCTCTCGATGTTATGACAAACCCTGGTTGATAAACAGTAAAGCGGGCACCCCCCTGAGGGGAATCGATTATTCCGACTTCCAGCTCCCGAGCGCCGAGGTAGAGTATGGTCTGCCAGCCCCCAGGAGCTGCTGCCAGGCTGGAGTGCCCCTGGCACGGAGTCATCCCACTCCCCTGCCTGCTCTTAACGCTTTCCTCGTGGTAGAGCAGCGCTTGTAGCTCCGCTAACGCTCCGACTGTTGGCGTTTTTCATGAGTCTCCAACTCGGATTAAAATTTAAATATCGGCTTCAGAGCGAAGCACGACGCTTTCCATTCACCCTCACCTGCTTCCAAACCGTGTTAATCCTCTTGTGCTTTGAAAAATGTTTTAATTTTCCGAGCTTTATTGGAAAGGGGCCGCGTTTTTTGGCTTCCCAAAAATTGAAATCCAGCAGCCGAGTTGAGACTTGAAAATCAGCTGCAGCGCATGCACCGTAAGCACACCGCCTCAGTTTTATGGAGAGCTTGTCTTTATCACCGTGTTGAAGCACGTCTGGTGTGTCCAGCCACCGCCTTGATGCTCCCAGGAGGATGAATTTGGGCTGAGGCTTTGGTTTCCCTAAAGTTTTCAGCCTCCTCGTGGACTTTTCCTGCCCTTGCGAGTGGGTGATGAGAAGCGCTGGGTAGATCCCGGTGGTTTGCTGTGCTGGTGAGGTAACTGTGTCTTGCTTAGCTTCCATGTGGAAAATGGATTAATTTGATTCACCAGGAGGTCAGGAGCGCTTCCCCAATTGCCCCCAAATTGATGCTTGCTGCCTATTTTGAGATAGGATCCAGGATGAGAATCGAAATCTCTGGTGATCACAGTGGTACCCGAAAATCGCGTCTTAATGGATTTTGATTCCCTCAGCTGCCCCTCTCTCCCTGCAGCTCCAGTTTCATCACATCCCAACATTTCTGAGGTTCCCAAATATCACAAAATCACAGAAAAACCCCTCCAGCTGTGGGAAATGCCCTCTGGGATCTGTGTCCATCTCTCCAGGGATGCAACACCCCTAAAACCCCCAGGGCTGGGGACACCACAGGCAGAAACTTTCCTGCAGCTCTGCCCCGAACCCAGAGCTTTGGATGGTGAACTGGAACTGGAGCTGCCTTTTCCAGCTGGATCCAGGTGCCCTCGCCCTGCTGGCACCTTCCCCTTGGCTTTCTGCAGCAGCAGAGGGAGCAGAGTTGCCTGTTGTGCTGCTTTAGCCCACACCAGCTGCACTTCCAACATCTCCAAGGTCAGGAAAAGGCACAGTTTCAGGATGCAGCCAGAGCTGAGCTGCTGTGCTTTGTGTCCCTGTCCATCACTTTTCCAGTTTGGCTGCCTCTGGTCACTGGGACTGGTGTGGACATCAGCACCAGGGTGTCCCTGCCTACAATGGGTTGTGTTACTCTTGATCCTGAGTTGGACTTGACCTTCCAAAATGCTCCTGAGCTGCTTGGATGCTAAAATCCTTGTTTTTCCATACTCCACATTCCCTTTGTGGAGGTTTCAAGCCCAGCTGATGCTGTCCCTCAACAGCTTTCCTCAGAATTTTCTTTTTTCCCAAAAAATTCCCTTTCATCAGCCTGCAGCTCACAAACTGCCGTTCCCCTCCAAATTTTCAACATTTGGTCTTTCCCCTTGTTTTACAAACCACTGCAACAGCAGCTTGTGCCTTCCCCTGACCATTGAGATGTGGGGGGGTTCCTTAAATGCCCACCTTTTTGCTGATCTGGGACGTGACCTGGGCCCGTCACAGTGCAGGTGACAGCTGAAGGATGCCCTGTGTGTGCTTCCTCCCAAGGTGACCCCCTCGGCTGGCAGCAAGCTGAAGCGCCCCACCTTCCACTCCAGCCGGACCTCGCTGGCTGGGGACACCAGTAACAGCTCCTCACCCGTCTCAACAGGTGCCAAAACCACTCGGGCAGGTGAGCGAAGGGAAGAGGTGGAAAAACTGCCCCCATTATTCAAATACAGAATATTTCAGGGATGGGCAGCAAGGGAGGAGATGCTGGCACGGCTCTGCACTCCGAGGAATTGCTGAAATTTGGGGAGGAACCAAGGCTGATGTTGAAGCTCCCATCTCAGGGGTGGTGGTGAAGCACCCACAGAGGGGTTGGGGATTTTGCTGTTGATCTGGGGATGGGGGAAATATGCCTGGAGAGGCTCCCTGGGACAGAGGCTGGACAGAGTTAAAGGAATAAAATAGGGATTTATTAAAATGCCTTTAATGGATACACCTTGGGCAGCACAGGAACCCAGCCATGGTTCCACCCAAGATGGACCCTGAGTCATGAGTTTCACACTTTTATGAGTTTTGGTCCATTTCCATATTGGGGTTAATTGTCCAATTCCAGCTCCAGGGGATGTAGTCCCACCCTCCCAGTTTGCTCTCCTCCATTCCCTGTTGTTTGCACTTTTTGTGCCTGAAGCTGCAGTGGTGTCCTTGGTTCTGGGCTGGAAATTGATTGTTTTGTGTGACTGAACTGTTTGTTAACACTTTATATGGAGTTCAGAGTTACACACTAACACAGTACAGAATCTGGAAAAAATAAGTGCTAAAACTTAGGGCATCAGGAGATACAAAAATTAAGGCATCAGGAGGAGCAAACCTTAGGGCAATCAGGAGGAACAAAACTTAGGGCATCAGGAGGAACAGAGGGCATCAGGAGGAATGAAACTTAAGGCATCAGGAGGAACAAAATTTAGGACATCAGGAGGAACAAACCTTAGAGCATCGGGAGGAACAAAGGGTATCAGGAGGAGCAAAACTTAAGGCATGAGGAGGAGCAAACCTGAGGGCATCAGAAGGAAAAAGGACATTGGGAGGAAAAAACCTTAGGGCATCAGGAGGAAAAAGGGCATTGGGAGAAACAACCCTTAGGGCATCAGGAGGAGCATACCTGAGGGCATCGGGAGGAGCAAACCTTAGGGCATCAGGAGGAACAGAGGGCATCAGGAGGAATGAAACTTAAGGCATCAGGAGGAACAAAATTTAGGACATCAGGAGGAACAAACCTTAGGGCATCAGGAGGAGCAAACCTTAGGGCATCAGGAGGAAAAAGGGCATCAGGAGGAATAAACCTGAGGGCATCAGGAGGAGCAAACCTTAGGGCATCAGGAGGAAAAAGGGCATCAGGAGGAATAAACCTGAGGGCATCAGGAGGAGCAAACCTTAGGGCATCAGGAGGAAAAAGGGCATCAGGAGGAATAAACCTGAGGGCATCAGGAGGAGCAAACCTTAGGGCATCAGGAGGAAAAAGGGCATCAGGAGGAATAAACCTGAGGGCATCAGGAGGAGCAAAACTTAAGGCATCAGGATGGGAACAAAATTTAGGGCATCAGGAGGAACGAAGGGCATCAGGAGGAGCAGAACTTAAGGCATGAGGAGGAACAAGGGATCAGGAAGAACAAATCTTAGTGCATCAGGAGGAACAAACCTGAGGGCATCGGGAGGAGCAGACTTTAGAGCATCAGGAGGAGCAAACCTTGGAGCATCAGGAGGAAAAAGGGCATCAGGAGGAACAAGGGCAGGAGGAGCAAACCTTAGGGCAATCAGGAGGAACAAAACTTAGTGCTTCAGGAAGAGCAAAACTTAAGGCATCAGGAGGAAGAAAATTAAGGGCATTGGGAGGAACAAATCTTAGGGCATCAGGAGGAAAAAGGGCATCAGGAGGGACAAACCTGAGGGCATCAGGAGGAACAAACCTGAGGGCATCAGGGGGAGCAAACCTGAGGGCATCAGGAGGAACAAACCTGAGGGCATCAGGGGGAGCAAACCTGAGGGCATCAGGAGGAAAAAGGACATTGGGAGGAACAAACCTGAGGGCATCAGGAGGAAGAGGGACATTGGGAGGAGCAAACCTGAGGGCATCAGGAGGAGCAAACCTTAGGGCATTAGGAGGAACAAAACTTAAGGCATCAGGAGGAAGAAAATTAAGGGCATTGGGAGGAACAAACCTTAGGGCATCAGGAGGAAAAAAGGCAGCAGGAGGAACAAATCTGAGGGCATCAGGAGGAGCAAACCTTAGAGAATCGGGAGGAACAAACCTGAGGGCATCAGAAGGAATAAGGGCATCAGGACGAACAAACCTGAGGGCATCAGGAGGAAGAGGGACATTGGGAGGAACAAACCTGAGGGCATCAGGAGGAGCAAACCTTAGGGCATTAGGAGGAACAAAACTTAAGGCATCAGGAGGAAGAAAATTAAGGGCATTGGGAGGAACAAACCTTAGGGCATCAGGAGGAAAAAGGGCATCAGGAGGAACAAACCTTAGAGAATCAGGAGGAACAAACCTGAGGGCATCAGAAGGAATAAGGGCATCAGGACGAACAAACCTGAGGGCATCAGGAGGAAGAGGGACATTGGGAGGAACAAACCTGAGGGCATCAGGAGGAGCAAACTTTAGGGCATCAGGAGGAACAAACCTGAGGGCATCAGGAGGAACAAACCCTTAGGGCATCAGGAGGAACAAACCTGAGGGCATGGGGAGGAGCAGACCTGAGGGCATGGGGAGGAGCAGACCTGAGGGCATGGGGAGGAGCAGACCTGAGGGCATGGGGAGGAGCAGACCTGAGGGCATGGGGAGGAGCAGACCTCCCTTCTGACGGCTCTGCGGGCCCTCCTTGCAGACCCCAAGAAAGCCGCCAGCCGTCCCACGAGCCGCGCCGGGAGCCGCACGGGGAGCCGGGCCAGCAGCCGGCGGGGCAGCGACGCCTCGGACTTCGACCTGCTGGAGACCCAGTCGGCCTGCTCGGACACCTCGGAGAGCAGCGCGGCCGGCGGGCAGGGCTCGCGCCGCGGCGCCGCCGCCAAACCCTCCAAAATCCCCACCATGTCCAAGAAAACGCCCGCCGCCACCCCAAAAACTCCGGGCCCTAAGAGATAATACTGTACCTTGATGGGAGAGAGGAAGGAAAAACTAGGAAACGACAACAAACGACAGCGATGACAAAAAAAACAACAAAAAAAAAAGCACCCGACCTGTGTCCAGTTTTTAACCCTGCTCCGTACATTGGATGTATATTTATTCTAAATGGGAGAAACTATATTGTTAAAAGTGTAAAAGAAAAGTTGTGTTATGAAGCTGCCTTATTTGGGTTTTTTTTTGTTTTGGTTTTTTGGGTTTTTTTTTTTCTTTTTTGTAAGTTACTATTTTCATGTGAATATTTATGTAGATAAAAAAAAAAAATTGCCTCTCGGTGACCCCTGTTTAGAGAGGGGCCTGGAAAACTGAAATGTGGGAGAGAAAGAAAAAAAAAATCAAGAAAAAGATTTTAAAAAAAAAAAAAAGGAAGCAAAAAAAAAAAAAAGGTCAAGATGTGAAAGTGTAAAGAAAAACTAAAATATAAATAGGATTTCTGCGCGGTGCAGGGTGTGAACCTGCTTTATCTTTTAGGATTGTTTCCTAAATGCATCTTTATAAACTTAACTTGCTGTCTCAGCAAGGTAAATTATATTTAAAAGCAAAGACCTGAATCCTGCAGTGTTCAAGGAACTCTCTTTTTGTAAATCACAGATACCTCAACCAGAGAAACATGAGGTGAGGGGACTTGGGGCTTATGTTTCCATTTTTTTTAAAGCTACGTGGTTTTATCTGAAGAAAGCGGAGTTTGACTTTAATAAAATTTGCACACACTACAGCAAAGGCCGTGACAATTTTGCTGTCTTGAAAATACTGTCCTGACAACTTTGTTTTTAAAGAACAAACCGAGGGTGAAGGGTTTGGGGAGGGGTTTGAGGAGGGGTTTTCACACCAGAGGATTGCAGGTCTGGATCACTGGGATGCATCCCTTAGAGGTGGTGGGCCCTCCACAATCAAGGATTCTTCTGGATTGATGGCTTAACCAGCCCGCCCCGAGGCGTTCCTTACACAATCACTGTTTTATCTGCATCTCTTTGTTTCCTATTTATTATTTAACTGGTCATTCCACTTCCAGCCAGGCTGAGATTGATGTGAACTCTGCTCCTAGGAGAAATCTGGACTTACACGCACAGTTGCTTGTCCTTGAAACGAGTCTCACCAGCACACTCGCTGCAAGTCCTGTCTCGCTTTTGTACGCTCCTTTTTCTTTGTAATAAAATCCAACTGACCAAGTGACCAGGAGACGGGCCGGGGGCGAGGGCTCTGCACAGCTCCTGTATTTATTAAATATTGTTCCTCTCCGGCTCTGACCGTGTTGCTGTGTGATTCTCTCAATTGGTTTCAAATTGAGGCAAAACTGAAGCTCTACCAATGAATTGTTTAAAAGAACCAGACACATTTTTGTATTAAAATTGCTTGCGGTAATAAACAATCTTGCCTCCTGCTTTATTCCCCAGTGTTAGCTTTGTAAGGATGAGCTGGAGCTGGTTATCCCGTGTGGGAAGGCAGTGGCTGTGGAAGTCAGGGGGTGTTTGCACCCAGGTTTTTTTGTGGGATGGAGCAGGGAACCACTCAGCCCCAAAATTAAGTGGTGCAGGGTGAGGCTGGTGAGGTGCTCAGTGGAGTGGGGAATTGGGTGCCTGTGAGGAGAAGGGATGCAAAGGGGTGTCCAAGAGTTTGGGTGGCCTTGGGAGTGGATGCCCAGGTGGGTCAGTGTCCCCAGGTGTGGAAGTTCATGGATTTGGGTGCCAGTGAGGGTGGGTGCCCCTGGATTTGGTTTCCCACAAGGGTCAGAATCCCCAGGTGTGGATGTTCATGGATTTTGGTACCCCTGGGTTTGGTTTCCCACAAAGGTCAGAGTCCCCACGTGTGGATGTTCATGGATTTTGGTACCCCTGGGTTTGGTTTCCCACAAAGGTCAGAATCCCCAGGTGTGGATGTTCATGGATTTGGGTGCCTCTGGGTTTGGTTGCCTACAAGGGGGATCCTCTTTAGAAGCGGGTGCCCATGGGATGAGCATCCCTAGGAATGGATCTCCATGCATTTGTGCACCCACAGGAGCAGGAGCATCCCTAGGGATGGGTGCCACGGTTTTGGGTGTGGGTGAGGCTGGGAACCCACGGCTTTGGGTGCCCACGAGGATAACCATCCCCGGGGATGGATTCCCCTGAATTTACATCTCCACAGCTTTGGGTGCCCACGAGGATAACCATCCCCGGGGATGGATTCCCATGAATTTACATCTCCACATCTTTGGGTGCCCACGAGGATAACCATCCCCGGGGACGGATTCCCATGAATTTACATCTCCACAGCTTTGACTTCCTACCACTCCTCATGCCCAGCGATGCTCCCCGTACCCCGGAGCCACCGGGCGGGGAGGGCCGGGGCGGTGCCGCTGGAGGGACCGTCCCTTTCCCTCTCCCCGCCGGGGCGGTCCGGTGCCGGTGCCGGAGCCGGGGCCGTGCCGGTGCCCGGTGCCGCACCGGGCGGCGGCGGCGAGCGGCGGGACGTGCAGCGGGAGATCCTGGCCGTGCTGGGGCTGCCCGGCCGGCCCCGGCCCCGCGCCCCGACCCGCGCCCCCGCCGCCGCCGCGCCGCTCTTCATGCTCGATCTGTACCACGCCGTGGCCGGCGAGGAGGAGGAGGAGGAGGAGGGCGAGGAAGCGGCGGTGTCGCGGCCGGTGCTCACCGGGCTCAGCACGCAGAGCCCCCCGCCCGGCAGCGTCGTGAGCCGAGCGGACACCGTGGTCAGCCTCGTTAATATGGGTGAGAACGGCTGCGGGGCAGCGGGAGAACCGGGGGGCACCGGGATGTGCGGGGCACTGGGAGCACCGGGAGAACCGGGGGGCACCGTGGGTCACCGGGATGTACGGGGCTCTGGGAGCACCGGGAGAACCGGGAGGCACCGTGGGTCACCGGGATGTACGGGGCTCTGGGAGCACCGGGGGGCACCGGGATGTGCGGGGCACTGGGGGCACCGGGATGTGCGGGGCACCGGGAGCAACGGGATGTGCGGGGCTCTGGGAGAACCGGGAGGCACCGTGGGTCACCGGGATGTACGGGGCACTGGGAGCACCGGGGGGCACCGGGATGTGCGGGGCACCGGGAGGACCGGAGCGCACCGGGGGCACCGGGAGCAACGGGATGTGCGGGGCACCGGGAGGACCGGAGGGTACCGGGGGATACCGGGATGTGCGGGCAGGATCCAGGCGGCTTTAGCAGGATCGGGGCGATCGGAGCACACCGGGGCTCCCCGGGGGTACCGGGAGAGGATACCGGCATGTGCGGGGCACCGGGAGAACCGGAGGGCACCGGGGGGTACCGGGATGTGCGGGCAGGATCCCGGCGGCTTTGGCAGGACCGGGGGCACCGGGACGATCGGAGCGTACGGGGATGATCCCGGTGGTTTAGGCAGGACCGGAGGGGGACCGGGACGCACGGAGGGACCGGGGGGACCAAAGCAAGGCACCGAGGGGACACCGGGGGGACGGGCACGGGGCTGAGCCGACCCCAACCCCATCTCCTGGTCCGTGACCGTGGTACCGACAGCTCCGAGCATCCCTCGGTGTGGTTTCTCAGTCCTTGCTCAAATAAGGAACTTTTATGCCCAAAGCTGAGCTCAGTAACGGGGGGAGCGGCGGTGAGGGACGCGGTGGCGGTGAGGGACACGGGGGTGGGGTGAAAGTGGCCGGGATGAATCCCAAATCCGTTTAAAAAGAGGAAATGGAGAAGGGGGAGCTGAGGGAAGCTCTCCCCGACTCAGCGGGCACAAGGCACCGGGCGAACGGGGCTCGGGACAGCCGGGACAGCAGCTCTGGTGCCAGCAGCAGGGTGACCCTCGATGGGACACTGCATCACGGCTCCAAATAAAATCCTCGAGGCTGTTAATTATTGCTGGAATCCCGTCCAGCTGGTTACCAGGCTCCAGCATCCTTCGGATTTCCAGGCAGCCGCTGGAGCAGCAGCAGAGCTGATCCCAGCGCCAGCGGGGCCGCGAACACTCGGGATGGGATGAATCCTCTGCCAGGACAGGCACTGGGGTGACTGAACCCAGGGGGATTTGCACACCGGGAGCTCGGATATGGAGCTTTTCCCTGTCCCTGCTCGTTGCTTTAAGGGATGTTTGTTGCCCCAAGCAGAAAATCCCCCAAAACCTCTGAGGAAGGGGAGAATCCCTCCTTGGAGATTGGAGGTGGGAGGGGGGTCTGCACCCTTGGGAGGAGGTTTAGGCGAGGCAGGGGCTGCAGAGGTGTCTCCCACTCATTCCTACTCCCCCTGTACCACGTGTGGCTGTGAGGAGTCTCCCTGGCACAGACCCAGGTGCTTGGGGTGCCCCCAGGTGCAGGCACCCAGCTCCCCTCCAAAATCCTGAGAGAACTGGGGTGGAGTTCAGCATCCTGTGATGGAGACAAAAGCTGAAGCACCAAATCCCCTCAGCACTTGGGACAACACTCAAGCACCAAAATGTGCTTTAAAGGAGTCAGGTGTGGTGGCAGCCACGGTGGGGTGTTCAGGGAGCCTTTGGGAGGTGTCACTGCTGGCACAGGGCTGTGGGCACTGCTCCCCTTCCCAGTGCTCCCAGAGTAGCCAGGAGAGTTTGGGGAGCACAGCTCCAGCCTTCAATTTGAATGGCTTTGATTTCTGCGGCTTCGTCAGCCCCTTCATGTTAATTAAATAAGGAGGTTTGGTTTTTTTTTTGTTTTTTTTTTTTTTTTTTTTTTTTTTGTGGGAGAAGGCCAGCTCTCATTTGCATACATAATTAGCTGCACAATTATCCTGATGGGACATGCAAAGTTGGGCACTTGGACCTTTTTGGAGCCGTCCCTGTGCGAGCAGGGCTCCTTGTTCCTGGGAATGGGGAGAGACAAACCTCCCTGGAGCACCAACTCTGGGGGACAGGGACAGCCCCAGCTGCTTTTGGGGATCATGGATCTGCCCATCCCACCCCTCCTGCTCCTCCTGGAGGGGGTGAAGCCTTCCCTGGGCTGTTCCTGTGCCCTGGCTGCAGCAGCCGGGCGGGATGTTGGGTTTTTGAGCCCAGGTTTTTGAGGATGTGAGGATGGGTTTTGGGATTTCTCCTCAGCTGTGAGTCATGGATACGGGCAGGGTGTGATTGTGGAGCAGGGAGATGTGGAAGGGAAAGGGGGTGAGGGCTCACAGCATTCCTGAGCCCCCCCAGCACACACATCCCCCTTTCCCTGCTGGCAACCATCATTATTGGAAGGTGTCCCATGGCAAGGGGTTGGAATTAGATGATCTTTAAGTTCCTCCCAACCCAAAGCAGCCTGTGATTCCTTGGCTGGACTCCCCCGTGGCTGTTTGGGATGAGGCTGTGCCCAAACATCTTCCTGGAAAATCCAGGGATGAACAAAAACCCTGGATAGGAACACAGGACACCTTGGCAAAACCAGCCACAGCACCCCGGGCACTTCAGGGAACCCTAAATGTGGGGTGGGAGCTCAGAGCAGCCTCTTTAATTGAATTTTAGGAGTTGGGAAGAGCTGCTCCACTCCACACTGTGGAAGTTCATCACCCACTGCCCTCATCCCACACAATTACCACTGAAATCCAGCTGCTGTCAGCAGCTGGCTCAGGATTTTCCCACCCCTGGCTCCGTTTCGCAGCCGTTTGAGCTGCGCCGAGGTGTCAGCGCTCTCCATGGACCCTCCGTGTGTTTTAATGGGGAAATCTTCCCCAAAAAATCCTGGGATCCACCTGGGACACAGTGCTCCAGCTGGATGTGTGTAGGGCAGGGGCCAAGGCTGTGTCCCAGCTGGGCTGGGGGTGTCCAGAGCTCCCAGAGCTCATCCCAGGAGGATGGAGGAGGCAAACTGGGAGTCTGGATGTGCTGGGATGACTCCTAAATCCCTCCCCACTTCAGAAACCTTCCAGAGCTTATTTTTTCCTGCTCAAAGGACAGCATCTTCCCTGCATCTCCTTTAAACCTATTTTAGGATCCAGAGCACTTGATGTGGTCGAATATCCTGGCATTTCCTTTTAATTTGGTGTCTGAAATGATCATGGGGACCCACTGGGAGCAGCCAGGCCCGGTAATTACGACTGATGCACAGTTTTATAGAAGCCCAGAAAGTGCACAAGGAAAAACGTGCAGCTAAGAATAACCTGGGGAGCAGGAGGAAGGGTGGGATCTGGGAAGAGGTCTGGGAATGCTCAGGGAATGGGAGACACCAGGAGGCTCAGCTGAGATGGAGCTGGGCATCCCCTCCCAGGGGAACGGCCCTAAGGCTGTTTATATTGGTTTGTAATAATTTTAATATTATTTTTGGGGGTGATGGAGCACACTCAGCTTTGGGGGAAGGTGCAGCAGCTGCCAAAGGAGGGGGGAAAGGAGAGCAAAGCGCTTGGGTTGGGCTTTTTTCCTGCCTCTCCTCTGCAATCCGGAGAATCCACCCACATTTAATTGAGGGTTGGTGGTGTGGCTGAGTCAACCCCAAGCAGGGGCAGGTTCCCAGGCACCCTGGGCTCCCCAAAGCCCCCGGGGGGGGCACCTCCAGCACACCCCCAGCAGCATCTGAGCACCCACAGCTCTGCTGGCTGCTCAGGGGAGACTGCAGGGCTCTCATTTTACAAACATTTTGATTTTAGCAGCAAACAGGGGAGTGTTGAGCCCTCTCCAAGCTGCTCTTTGTGCAGCAGTCGTGGCACAGAAGGGGGAGCTTCTCCCTCAGTCCTCCCCCTCCAAAGGGGTTCACTTTTTTCCTCCCTGAAGAAGCAGAGAGTTCAGGGATTCCTCCCAGAATTTCATCCCAAACACAGACAAATCCAGCTTATTTGGTTCATCAAGGAGCTCAGCTAATTGCAGCTCAGCTAATTTTTGCATTTCTCCTGCTGCCAAGGTGTCCCTGGGCTCCCCTCCCACCAAATCCCCTCCTCTGCCTTCATCCCCAGACCCCTCCATCACCTCCACAGCAACAGGAAAATTTCATTAAAAATTTTTAGCAGAGGCTTTCACTCTTCTCTAGGGACAAAAATCACCTTTTTGGCTTTTTCATCTGGTGTGGGTTCTCTGTGACTTCCTTGGCTCTGACCAAAAAAATCCTTCTGCCCATCCCTGGGTGAGGGTCCAGCTGCAGGCAAAAATTTTGGAGCAAAGTGACCAAAAACACCCAAGGGGACCGACCAGGGGACACCCACTGGGGGCTTATCCGTGCCAAAACCCCGAGGTGACTCCTCTGCTCATATTTTGGGGGGAATTTAAGGATTTTTGCCTCGGCAGCTTTGGCAGCGCCAACAACCCACGAGAATAAAACCACCCCACGATGGGATGGTGGAAGGAATGGCAAAGAGGGAAGAGGCTGAGGGACTGAGGAGGGTTTGGGGGGCTCTGTGTCCCCCCCTGAGGGGTTGGGTCGGGTTCCCAGAGCATCCTCCTGCCCAGCTGGCAGCCACCCTGGCAGGGCAGGAAGCGCTCTCCGCATCCGCCCCGGGCTCGTTTTAGAACACAGCTTGTGGTGAGGCCAGGAGCTGGAGGGAATGTGGGATTTGAAAAAAAAACAAAACAAAAAAAAAAAAAAAAAAAAAGAAAAAGGAGGAAAAAATAAGAAGGAAAAGAATTTGTGGGTAAGTAAAATCTCCGTGTTGGGTTTGGAGGGATGTGCTGCTCCCTCCGTGTAAATGGGAATGGCAAGGTTATGGTGGGTAAAATTTGGAATATTTCCCCCCTGGAATTGGTTTTAAAATGCATTTAAGCTGTTTATTTTTTTTCTTTAGTTAATGATTTGGTTTAGTTTTAAAAGTAAGCGCCAGGTTACGTTGCTTTTGCGCCTGAAGCGGGAGAAGCTTTAGTCACATTGAATCAGATTTAATCATAAACTTTAATTATGCTCAGACCAGGAAGATAGGGGTGTTTTTAAAGAACAATTTGAAGCAAATGATTGCACATTAGCAGAACTGTGGGGGCTGCATTACCATAGAGAAAGGGAGGTTTATTCTTTATGGATGAACAAAATAAAATCAGATTTTTCCTGTCCCAGTGTGGTGGAGAAATAAGGTGTTTTCAGGAAAAAGGGAGGGGATTTTTTACAGAGCAGTGACCTGATAATCCCCCCCCCAGCTCCCCAAAAACACACAGGATAAAAATTTTTATTTGTGGCTAAATTTTTGCTTGTGGACATATCTTTACTTGTGGACCTGTGATATCCAGTGATGAGCCCTGGGTTTGTCTGCTGCAAGAAAAGTTTGGAAAACCCCAATTCCTGCTCCAGATGGTCCTGCTGAGCCCCCAAACCTCAACATTTTGAATGTGTTTTTCCCCTTTTGATGAAGCAGCCCCTAAAGCCTGTCAGATTCTCTGTGCTCCTCCCACAGCCAGCGCTTGTGCTTTTAATTTTAATTTATTTCAATTTTAATTAATAATGAAAAGGGCTGGGAGGGGAAGCTGGTGGGTCTACAGCAAAATAAACTGCAGAAACAGGGGAGGATGATCTGAATTCAAACCCTCGGGAGACGGGAACATCCAACCAAGGGCGAGCAGCCCAGAACCAGCGAGTTTATCCCCAAAATCCACTTGGTGGGGCTCAGCGGGGAGGTTCCAGGCTTGGCTCAGCCACCCCTGAGCGCTTTTTTTTCCCTCCTCAGTGGAGCAGGACCGGGATCTGTTGTCACCCAAGCCCTACTGGAAGGAGTTCAGGTTCGACCTGACCCAGGTGCCGGCGGGAGAGGCCGTGACGGCCGCCGAGTTCCGCATCTACAAATCCCGGGGTGTCGCCAGGCACGCCAACAGCAGCCTCCACGTCAGCATCTACGAGGTGGCTGGGCAGCATCCCAACAGGTCAGGGGCTGGGAATGAGGATGAGGAGGGTGGGAGCGGGGGTGGCGCGGAGAAAACGGTGTGGGGTGGTGGGGATGGGGTGAAGAGGATGGGGATGGGAGTGGGGATGAAGGAGAGGGGAAAGGAATGAAGATGATGGGAATGGGGGTGAGGGTGAAGGTAATGGGAAGGGAAAGGGTGTGGGGATGAAGGAGAGGGGAAAGGAATGAAGATGATGGGAATGGGGGTGAGGATGAAGGTGATGGGGATGAGGATGAAGGTAATGGGAAGGGAAACGGTGTGGGGATGAAGGAGAGGGGAAGGGAATGGGGATAGGAATGAAGGGGATGGGGATGGGGTGAGGATGAAGGTGGTGGGGATGGGAGTGAAGGAGATGGGAAGGGAAAGGGTGTGGGAATGAAGATGATGGGAGTAGGAGTGAGGATGAAGGTGATGGGCATGGGACAGGGTGTGGGGGTGAAGGAGATGGGAAGGGAATGGGGATAGGAATGAAGATGGTGGGAATGGGGGTGAGGAAGAAGGAGAGGGGAAGGGAATGGGATAAAAATGAAGATGGTGGGAATGGGGGTGAGGGTGAAGGTGGTGGGGGTGAGGATGAAGGTAATGGGGTGGGAAAGGGTGTGGGAATGAAGGAGGTGGGAAGGGAATGGGGGTAGGAATGAAGATGATGGCAATGGGGGTGAGGATGAAGGTGGTGGGGATGGGAGTGAAGGAGATGGGAAGGGAAAGGGTGTGGGAATGAAGATGATGGGAGTAGGAGTGAGGATGAAGGTGATGGGCATGGGAAAGGGTGTGGGAGTGGAGGAGATAGGAAGGGAATGAAGAGGATGGGAATGGGGGTGAAGATGAAGGTAATGGGAAGGGAAAGGGTGTGGGGAAGAATGAGAGGGGAAGGGGGTTGGGAATGGGGTGATGGGGATGGAAATGAAGACGGTGGGGACCCACACCCTGCCATCTCCACCTGGGCAGGGAGGCAGCTTTTCCCAGGCCACCCCCGTGGTGTCCAGCACAGCCAGTGGCACTGAGAGCCGGGATGTGCCCGGACACAGCTCCAGGAGTCATTTCCATGAATTATCCCTCCTGCTGGAGCCCTTTGGGTGCTGTTACTCACCTGCTCCTTTCCCCCTGCTCCTGCAGGGAATCCGACCTGTTCCTGCTGGACGTGCAGGACCTGCGTGCTGGGACAGAGGGCTGGCTGGTGTTTGATGTCACAGCTGCCAGCAGCCACTGGTCAGTGGATCAGAAACCCACCCTGGGGCTGCGGCTCTGTGTGGAGACAGACGATGGTGAGCCTGCCCGAGCTGCCCGCAGAGTTTGGGGACAAATTCCCAGGAATTGGAGTCCTCTCGGTGCCGTGGATGTGCTGGGGGGTTGATCTCGGTGCAGTTTTAAATTTCCAGCTCTGACGGGTGCCAGCAGTCTGGGTTTGCAGGTTCTGATGGCTGTGGATTGTAATTAACCTCATTAATACTTAATGAACTCCTTACCTGGAGGGATCTCTGTGTGTGTGTGGGGCAGAGGATTAACCCTCTCTTCCCCACGGGATTAAATCTGCTCCAGCAGGGCCTTTTCCAGGTGGGAAGGCACACAAAGAGCAGCTCCTCTTCCACGGGAGGAAGAATCACAGCCCCATCCATTCCTTGGGGTGAAGCAGAAAATCAGTTTTAACCCTTTAATATCCCTGTGTGACCATTTCCTGCTGGAACAGGGACCCTCAGGAGGCTCCAACCCCCAAACCACACCTCCTGCTGCAAATTCCCTGTATTTTTAACCTCTCCTTTAACCAAAACGAGTTCTATTTGAGGACAAACCCCAAAAATGGTCCTGTCCCTGCAGGGCACAGCGTGGATCCAGGCTCAGCTGGGCTCCTGGGGCGCCGGGGACCCCGCTCCAAGCAGCCCTTCATGGTGACATTTTTCCGGGCCAGCCCCAGCCCCTCCCGTGTCACACGAGCAGCCAAAACCCCGAGGAGGCGACAGCCCAAAAAATCCAACGACCTCCCCCACCCAAACAAGCTCCCAGGAATTTTTGGTAAGGTGTTTTAAGGGATCTCCCTGCGGAAAACACGAGGCTCTCTGCTCGTCAGCACCTTGAAATCCTGATAATTTTTTTTGGGCCCAAGGGAAACGGAGCAAAAAGTTCTGAGATTTTAGGATTGGAGGTTTCTGCAGTTTGGGAGGTGCAGAGAGGGTTTGGGTTGGATGCCCTCAAGGAAATGGTGTTTTGTGAGCGTGTCAGGATTACTGAATATTGGAATTTTTGCCTCATTGCCCTTGGCTTTGGAGCCCTGGGAAGGTGTCACAGCTCCAGAAAGCTCAGGCAGGAGGGGAACAGGAAGGCCTGAGTTTGGGAAACCCTCAAAGCGAGCACAGCTGGGGTTTAGCTCTTCCAAGGCTGAATTCCTTCATCCCAATATTGGAATATCAATTCCAATTCCAATTCCAGGCCAGTCTGGAGCTGCTTTTCCCTTAATGCAGCAACAAAGTCTCCTCTCCTTTTGTTCTCCTGGGTCAATCCCAATCCCAGGGGCTGTGTCCCACCTCTGAGGGGGAATTCCAGGGCTGAATTCCCTGTCCCCTTTTCCCACAGATGATGTCCACGCCACGGATGGGCGGCAGGTCTGCCGGCGCCACGAGCTCTACGTCAGCTTCCAGGACCTTGGCTGGCTGGTACTTGTCTGCTGGGAGAAGTAAATGACAAAAAAACCCCCCCTATCATTCCATTCCCCCACCCTGGGCTCCCTCCCAGGCTGGATTCTCCCGCCCATGGAACCATCCCAGGAGCTGGGAAGGCAAACACGAACTGCCACAACCCCAAACCTCACCAGCGACCCTGAACAACTCCTGGCTGATCCAAAAAAACCAAAATAAACCCTTGCTGAGCTGTTTATGCAGGTGGGGAATGGATGAGGGGGCACAGAAGGGTGAAGCCCTCAATGTAATCCCTTTTTTTTTTTTTTTTTTCTTTTTTTCCAGGACTGGGTGATTGCTCCACAGGGATACTCAGCCTACTACTGTGAGGGGGAGTGTGCATTCCCACTGGACTCCTGCATGAACGCCACCAACCACGCCATCCTGCAGTCCCTGGTCAGTGCAGCCCAGCAGGGCAACCCTGGGGGGACATCCAGGGTCCTGGGGAGCACCCAGAGCCCGGCAGGTGCTGAGGAACAGCTGGGATTTTGGGATGAGAGTGGCTGGGCTTGAGGGTGCTCAGCTGGGAGGGTGCAGTTGGGCTCCTGGTTGAAATATTGAATGGGCTTGAGGGTGCACATCTGCGTGGGTGAGTGCACATCTGGGTGGGTGAATGCACATCTGGGTGGGTGCTTGCATGTCTGGGTGGGTGCTTGCACATCTGGGTGGGTGAGTGCACATCTGGGGGGGCTCATGCTCATCTGGGTGGGTGAATGCACATCTGGGTGGGTGAGTGCACATCTGGGTGGGTGAATGCACATCTGGATAGGTGAATGCACATCTGGGGGTCTCATGCTCATCTGGGTGGGTGCTTGCACATCTGAGTGGCTGCTCACAGGCTGGCCCCCACCACAGGCTCAAGGGAGGTTCCAATATGGAATTTCAAGGCATTCATGGAGAGACCCAGGGTGAGGGCACGAAGCTCTGCCCCTCATCCTCAACCAGAAGGCTGCAACAGCGGGATTTTGTCACCCCAGAGCTCCCTCACCTCTTGGTTTTCTGACTGACACCATCCTGCTCCAGTTCCACAGCAGCTGGGGCAAAACTGATGATTTCTGGCAGATTAGTGATCCCTCTCCCCTGGCAGCGAGCTGGGCAGCAGGGACAAGCCCAGGGCACACCAGAGCCCCCCAAAAAAGGCTCTGTGCCATCCCTGCATCCTCCTCTCCAGGCGCTTCCCAGGGTTTTATCCACAGCCCCGGCACCCAAACCTTCGGCTCAGCATATTCCGAGCAAGAAAGCTTTAATGCCTTGGGTTTGTTTTTTTTCCCAAACCCACCCCACATCCCAGGCAGCGCTTTAATTTCTGGAATTTCCTGCCCTGTGAGTGTTTGGTTTCCCAATGGCAGAGCCACCCCGGCTCCGGTGCTCGCGGTTAATTACAGGGAGCGCCGAGCCCTCGGCCCAGCCTTTGAAGGTGTCGCCTGGCTGGGTTTAATTTTGACATTAAAACTTCCAGGGCCCATCCAGGGGCTGGGAACCATCCTGGCAGTGGCAGGGAGGGGCTCTTTTTTTTTTTCCCCCCTCTACACCCACCCATCACCCCCAAACCCAGCTCTGTTCCCAAAACGGAGCCGTTGGGGCAGGATGTGAATCACCTGGATCCGGCCCTTCTGGGAAGAGCCAGGGCAAAGGCGGCTGTGGAGCCATGCCAGCCCCAGCCTGAGCTGCAAATAGCAGGGTTGGACAGCAAAAACACCGGACTTCCGAGCTGGGAGAGCTCGGCTGCCCCTGCTGTAAATGAATCGCACATGTCGGGGCAGCCAGCAGGGCTCCTGTGTCCTGCCAGCCTCCTCCGGCTCCTGCCCTGCAGGAAAACACCGGGATAACGCCTGTCCCCAGCAGGGAAAAGCCATCCAAGAGTGGGGTCCTGGTCACAGAGGTGTTGTGGACTTTAGGATGGGAGTTTGGGGTGGAGAATCTCTGTTGGAACAACACCCAGCGCCCCCCGCCCACACCGGAGCCTGACCCGTGCTGTGCTGATTTATGGGGATTTTTTTTTTTAGTCATTTGTCTGTTTTTGTGAGAAAAAGGGCCCTGAAATCCCAAATTAATGAAGGGGCTGCCTGGCCCACGCAGTGCCATGAGCCCTGATCCAATATAAACCGCAGCAGGGACTGCCTGGAGTTTAGAATAAATATTTTTGCAAAAAGATGGAAATAATCCCCCCATTCACCCAGGGTTTTTCTGGTTGGTTTGTTGCCTGGAGCCACGTTTGCTGGCACTGATGGGCTCCATCCATCCCCCAGGTCCACCTGATGAAGCCTGAGGCCGTGCCCAAGGCATGCTGTGCCCCCACCAAGCTCAGTGCCACCTCTGTCCTCTACTACGACAGCAACAACAACGTCATCCTCAAAAAGCATCGGAACATGGTGGTGAAATCCTGCGGCTGCCACTGATGGACAGGTCCCATCCCACCCCTGAGTGTCCAAATCCTCCAAATCCAGTCCCTGAGCGTCCCATTCCCAGCCCTTGATGTCCCATTCCCACCCCTGAGTGTCCCATTCCTGTCCCTGAGTGTCCCATTCCACCCCTGGATGTTCCATTCCCACTCCTGAGTGTCCCATTCCCCACCCCTGAGTGTCCCATCCCATCCCTGATGTCCCATCCCCACCTCTGAGCATCCCATTCCTGTCCCTGAGTGTCCCATTCCCACTCCTGAGTGTCCCATTCCCCCCCTGGATGTTCCATTCCCCCTCCTGAGTGTCCCATTCCCCCCCTGGATGTTCCATTCCCACTCCTGAGTGTCCCATTCCCACTCCTGAGTGTCCCTTTCCCACCCCTGGACGCCCCTTTCCCACCCCTGGATGCCCCTTTCCCATCCCTGGATGTCCCATTCCCACCTCTGAGCATCCCATTCCTGTCCTTGAGTGTCCATTCCTGTCCCTTGATGTTCCATTCCTGTCCCTGGATGTCCCATCCCCAACCCTGGACACCCCATTCCCACTCCTGGATGTCCCATTCCTGTTCCTGGATGTCCCATCCCCACCCCTGAGTGTCCCCTCCCATTCCCACCAGAGCAATGTCACCCTGGCTTTCTGCTGCACGTATGGAAGAGGAGCTTTGTGGGCTGCATCAGAGCAAAATCCATTAATAATAATAATAATAATAATCAAAAAAGCAAAAAATAAACCCTTCCCACCCCTTTCTAGAAGTGGATGTAAATAGTATAAAACTTCCTTTTTCTTATCCTGCTTGATGAGACACAGAAATATACAAACACATATATATATATATAGGAAAGAGAGGATTTTTGGCTGATTCTGTTTTGTCTGTGACTGATGTGTTTTCCCTGAGCTGGAGGCAGTTTGGAGGAAGGCAGCATCCAGGTTGCTCTGGGACTGAGCACAGTTTCTAGCTGTGTATTTCTCCACTAACCCACCTCTACCCAAGTGCTTTTAATTCCCTTAATGAAAATATCATCAGCCAATTAAGTAGCTGGCTGACTAACCCCCCTCCTGTTTACCCAAAGTTCACCAAACTCAGCCAGTTGGAAAAAAAATAAAATATCCATATTGAGCTACAGCACTGTTATAAAATAAACGCAAAGTTTGGAAAGTAAACACGGAGTTTCTCTTGCTCTTTGTTTTTTAATGTCACAGCACAACAGGGCTCTGTTCACAGGGCCTTTTGCAATGAAAAAAAAAGACTCAGAATTGGCTAAAATTGTACCTATTTGCTTGAAAATGAGCCCTGATGTGAGTTTTAGGTCAGGCTGTGCCCATCCCGTGGGCTCCCAGCGGGGCTGTGAGCTGTCCCAGGCAGCTTCCCCAGGTTATTTGCACAATTAAATTATTTATTTGCTCTGATTTGAAAAGGAAAAGGCCTGTCCTGGTTCTCAGCTCGGATACCTGGGGAACCTTACATCAATAAATAAGGAAAGAACCTGGAACAGTCAGGGAAAAATCCCAATAAAACCCCACCAAAATGAGGGAGATTTGTTCCCTGTCAGTGCCCAGCTTCCCAAGGAAAGGTTTTGCTTGTCTGGGTGTTTAATTCCACACGAAATCCAGCTCAGGGTGCAATCCTGGCTCCGTGGGATTTGGTGCCTCCTGCAGAGAGAACAGCCAAGCCTTGCACTGACTCTGGACTCTTGGCTGCAGGTGCCTGACTTTAAAATGTGGGATTTAAACAAAAAGAAGGGAGCAAGGGAAGGGAAAGCTGGGCTGGTTTGTCTGTCAGGAATCACACCCTTGCACCTCACTTTGTCTCAGTTTTAGGACAATGCAGAACCCTCAACCACCCTAGGAGACCAGGCAGTGAAAAAAAGCAATCCTTATGGAAAAACAACACCACGACTTGTGAGGGGCTGGTCTGGGCAAACCCAAAATCCCCAATGGCACAAGCACTTCCAAACATCCCCAAAATCCCAACACCAGCCCCTCCTCTCCACCTCAGCAGCCTCATCCCTCCTGCCAATACCTGCACAAGCTCAGAACCAAACATCCCTTCCATAATCTCACTGGAAACCCAAAATCCATCGCTTCCCAGTCACCTCTAAGTGCAAAGCCAGGGCTGCCCACCACAGGAACTCTAAATCCACGTGGTTTATCCCACTCTGCAACCTGGAGGCTGGGAATCCCTTCCTACAGCCTCACCACTCTGGGTTTTTCTCTTTTTCATCATCCAAAGGGCTCCCTCATTTCCAGGGGTTCCCTGTCCTGTGTTTTCCAGCTCACACATCCCAGTGAATGCCCTTCCTCTGGTTTGGGGATGGAGCTGGGACAGTTGAGACACCAGCCAGGGACCTGCCTCCCTCTGCTGCTGGAAAAGGACACTACAAAGCCAAAAGCACCTCCAGGAGATGCTGCTGTGCAACAAACACGAGAGGTTCAGCTCTGCTCTTCTCTCCCTGGCACAGGTACCCTCCCCTGGAGTCAGGATTTAGGCACAGGATTAATGAAGAGGAGAGCAAATACAACAAAAAAAAAACATCTTTGCTCAAAGATCAGCCTCCCACAGAGGGAATTCAGCAGCCAGGCCCTCAGTATTTTCAAAACTAGGCTTTATTTTTACCAAACATAAATTTTTTTTCCAGAACACAGCAGCAGGACCAGCTCGGGCAGCTCAGGCTGGAAGCGATTTACCCCAGGAAGGATAAATCCTTCTCACAGGAACCTTGGTGGGGGAATTCCTATGGAAGCTGCAGGAGGGGCAGTGCTGGGGAGTCCCTGGGGTGTCCCATCCCTGCTGGTTCCTGTCCCTCCAGGCCAGGCTCCCCCATCCAGCCCCTCCAAGCACCGAGCTCACGCGCACTCCCCGCAGTCCGAGATGATCACCTTCTGCTTTGGCTTCCCATCTTTGGTGCCCTGAGCCTTGGAGAGAAGAGCAGCAGGAATTCCAGGGGTGACTCCTCAGGGCAGGAAGGAAGCGGGCTCTGCCCCCAGCTCCCCCCTGCCCTCACCTACCTCGATCTCCCTCACCACGTCCATGCCCTCCGTCACCTCGCCGAACACCACGTGCTTCCCGTCCAGCCAGTCTGTTTTGTCACAGGTGATGAAGAACTGGGAGCCGTTGGTGTTTGGGCCCGAGTTTGCCATGGACACCATCCCTGGGGTCAGAGAGGGCAGAGTGATGGCTGCTCCTTCAGCCCAGCCCCGCTCCCACGCCCCACAGAACGCTGCTGGATATCAAAATCCACAGAAACCACTGGAAATCAATTATGCCGAGAAACACTTGTGAGTGTGAAAGATGCTCAGCTATTTTTAGCTGCAGCATCAGCAAAGCTGTCTGCAAGATAAACCTGCTTGCTTGCTCCTGCCTTTCACAGCCACGCTGTGACATTCCTCGTTTAAAATCAAGCAGGAAAAGCAGCTTTGAAATTGTTTTTCCTTCATGTAATACTGTAAATGAAGTGGATGAGGAGGGAGTGATGCATTTGGTGAGATACAAGGGTCTGAACGTGGCAGAAAAATCTGGCCAATGTAGATGATAATAATTAGAATTAGAATTAGAACTGGAATTCAGGGCTGCTGCTATCAACATGGCTAAAACAGCCCTAGGTGACGCTGAGCCATTTTCTCTCCAGTCCATCTCTAAAGGAGATGGCTTTACCTGGCCCTGTGTGCTTGAGGATGAAGTTTTCATCATCAAACTTCTTCCCGTAGATGGATTTGCCGCCGGTGCCGTTGTGGTTGGTGAAGTCTCCGGCCTGGCACATGAACTGGGGGATGACGCGGTGGAAGCTGCTGCCTTTGAAGCCAAACCCTTTCTCGTGGGTGCAGAGGCAGCGGAAATTCTCTGCGTGCGGGGGGCACAAAGGGGAGCCAGGTGAGGGCTGTGCCCCCCCCCGGGGGTGCCCAGGAGGGGAGGCTGAGCCCTGTCCCCACCTGCAGTCATGGGCACCACGTCGGAGCGCAGCAGGATCCGCAGCCGCCCCGCGGGCTTGTTCCCGATCTTGATGTCCATGTAGACCTGGGGGTTGACCCGGGATTTCTTGGTGGGAGGCTCGTCCTGGGCAGGAAAAGAAAGGAAAAAAAAAAAAAAAAAAGCAAGTTGAGGTGATATTTCTCTGCTTTGCATCCTCATCCTGTGGGATAACGGGGATGCAGATGGCTCTGGTTGTTTTTCCTACCTCCTGTGCCTCTGCTTTGGGGGCCTCTGCTCCTCCCTCCTCCTTGTTCTCCTCCAAAGTCTTCCCTGAAAACTTCTTCAGCCACTCATCATCTGACCAGACTGTGGCCACAAAAGGAAAGGTCAGAGCACAGGAATTGACCCAAAGGGCCATGGAGCTCCGAGCATGGCCAGGGATGTTCTGCTCCCCAGCTCACCAGGCCTGGATGATCCTTCTTTAATCCTCATGGGTTTGGCCAGGTTCACTCGGATTGTCCTGCCAAAGAGCTCAGACTCGTTCTGCAGAGGGGAAAAAAGCACAGCAAAGCCCACCAAAAGGTATAAAACCACCGTGCCCCCCAAAGCCCTGCAGAGCTCAGAGGACAGAGCTTCTGCTCTCTCTGTAGCCCACAGCACCCAGGGCAGGGAGCAGGAGTGGGAGCAGGGTCCATACCATGTTGTCAATAGCTGCTGCTGCATCCTGCCAGAAAAAAATCAAAATAAAATCATTATTAACATTTATTCTCCAGGTCCAGCATAGCCTCTCATTATAAAGACAACTGCCAAGTTTTCCTAAACCCCATTTATCCCAGGGATGTATGAACTGATGGGTTTTGTAAAAGCCATATCCCAGCCCCATCCATGTGGGGTTTCCAAACCCCATGTGGGTCTCATCTTCCAAAAACTCACTAACCCCTTGCATTTAAGATGTTTTATTGCTGCCATGAGCTTTTGGGAGAGGAGAGATTTGTGTACAAAGCCCAGGACACACAATCAGTGGACAAATATATGACAGCCCATGAAACCAAGGAACTCAGCCAGGGATGGTGGCGGGGCAGCAATTTGG